TTTAGCCAGTAGCTGCCACGCTTGGTAGACGGGTTGGCATTCGCAGTTAGTCTTTACAGACTTTTTTATGCAACTTTGTATGGCAAACAAACTGACGGCCCACCTAATGGAAAGTGGTAAACGTCACCTATAGACATGAGCAGTTCCATGGACATAATAGAGTATACTGTTTCGCCCATCATACCCCCCATGCGTTGCCATTCCTGAGCACTCAGGTGTTATGCCTCTGTACCCAGTAAATTCACTGACATATCCCACCGTTCAAATCGAAACACAGCCATGCAAAGACAACTGCTTCACGGTTGAAACACGAATGGTACAGAGATGCTGATGTTTTAAGAGGGACGCTGCTGCCCATCTTTCGACCTTTAAATTCTCTTTGTCACCTCTTACGAAACGCACATATGGTACTACTACATCCTTACTTATATTATCAATATGAAAATGAGTTTATTTGTTTGTTACCTTTTAGCAACTCGACTAATTATTATAAAATTTGGTATTTAAGTACTATATCAGATATAGTAAGATACAGTATACCCATTATTGTTAGTTAGTGTACATTGACGCTTATCTGTGAGAGCTGTATACACCTTTAATTGATGTGTTCATATAGCCTTAAGCTTAGTAGTGAGGAGTAAGATTTTTTTGTTCAAACTTAGATTTATGCATTTTGTAATAGTAGTTTTTATCTTTTACTTGCTAATAACATTGTATATTGTCTACTTAATTATTGTGAGCATATTGTTGGTGTGTCTTTTATAAATAAATAAATAAATAAATTTTAATAATTATTATAACTTATAATTAATATTTAGTAACAATAATACATGTAAAAATGTTGCACGCCGTACTAGCTGATGCTACAAGCTGTAGGCTACACAAAAATGTATAATATTATTTCAACTTACCACATTCATCGCAATAAATTTCATTTCATTTCATTTATCCCGGTCAGTGAATATATCCGGTCATACGGACGAAGTCGCGGGTAAAAATTAGTTCCATATAATTAATTAATAATAATAATTTATTTGCCAGAAATATAGTTACATAATAAGATATTAAATTTTTTTTGTTCATTATGTTTCGCCCTTAGATTATATAGATAGAGTATCTCCATACAAATGCTTCGAGAAAAACGGGTCGACTTTTTCATACAATTTTGCGTGATAAATAAATATGAACGATTCCTTCATAACTTCTATATATATATATATATTTGTTTTACAATTTCTACATCTGTTTATTGCGTTTATTATAGGCATTTTATTTATTAAATAATAAGTCAAGATACATTATATGCGTAAGTATATAGAACACTGATAAAAAAACGATTCAATTAAATTGACAACTAGCTGACAAAAAGTTGACCCGTTCTTGAGCCTCGAGGCTCTATCTATATACTTAATCTAAGATTTCACCATATTTAATAGCATGCAAATCTTTGTAGATAGTATTTATTAGACATCAAAATTTTAAATAAACATTAATTAAACTGTTACGTTATAATCTTAATTTAAATCAACATGTCATACTGTAATAACATAAAAATAAAACATAAAAGCTTCAGTTAAAGTTAAAAAACTAAACAAAATGGCGTCGTTCATAAGTGCTACAAGTAATTTGACTGCAAGCGACAGTGTCGGCGGATTGTCTAAGTTGCTAATTACGTATTCTCGGTTATCTTATGTTAAAACCGTCCCGACAAGCACGTCCAATTTGTATGTTGAGTGCAACATCTTTCTCTGGGGGACTTGAGTACAGTCCTCTTATTGTCACACAATGCAAACCAGCGTTTTGACAGCTCGCCATTTTGAAACTTTCCAATCGTTCGTGCGGTCTTTTTGCGAATCTGATATTGTTTACTTATGACTCAGAATTTTAATGTGCCTACTTATTCATGCTAAAAAATTAAAATTTGTATGTTTGTTATTTTTATTTTAATTATTCTGTTTAATTCCACTGCCAATTAAAGAATCATAGAAGTACCTAATGTTAGTAGTGGAATTAAACAAAATAATTCTATTCAAGTAACCAGTGATATGAACTTCCGCAAGATAACACCTTACGTTAATAAAATGTTTGTTTTACATTTACGACTAAACGGTTGAACGGATTAAAACGTTTTTTTTTTTTTTTTTGTTTTTGCACACACAGACTACATTTTAAATAATACAGTTTATTAGTTATGAAGTAACAAACATATAAAAAAAATACAACTGAAACAGAAAACGAACATTTTTTGAAATCGGTTTAAAAAAATATTTAACTGAGTATAATCTAGCCATATAATCTATTCAGACATATATATACATCTTTACACACACATAGTTAACTAATTATTATTATTATATATTAAATATTTAATCAATAATTCTCAAGAGTTAATAAATAATACGCTAATAGCGAACTACTTAATGTTTTTTTTTTTTTATACAACTTAGAATGGCAAACAAGCTGACGGCTCACCTCATGGCAAGTGGTAACCGTCGCCTATAGACATGAGCAGTACTTTACATACAAAAACTTCGACTGTACAGTCTTCAATACTTGTAATTCTCTTTAATATTTGTATTGGATTGACACATCGACATTTTATTTTCATATCTGCTTTTCTATTTACATAATACGACATATTACTAAGTGGTATATTAAAATATATAAAGAAGACCAATTTACCAGACGGAGATTTTGTACAAAAGTCGTTTGCTTGGATACCTCTGTCCCATTCGTGTTTCTACTGTGAAGCAGTTTTAGTTTGAAGGGTAGGATATAGCGTGAATTTACAGGGTATAACAGAGGAATAACACCTGAGTCTTCAGGAATGGCAACGCATGGGCGGTATCATGGACGAAACAGTACACTCTGTTATGTCCATGGTACTGCTCATGTCTATAGGCGACGGTTACCACTTTCCATCAGGTGGGCCATCAACTTGTTTGCCATTCTAAGTTGCATAAAAAAGAAAAAAAAATTTTTCTATTATTAATTCTCTATGAACTCATCATAACCGCTCGTTTACTGTACTCGCAGTAACAAAAATGCTAATCAGAATGCACTCAGTGTCGGCGGCAAATGCCTAGAGTGCATCGTGACTTGAATACGAATTACAAACAAATGCATAACACCGAACGTATTACTGCCTCGAAATAAATATATTTACTCTAAAATATGATTACAAATATCTGTTGTGCGTGCGTGTGAATTTTCGAAATCGATTTAAAACTGACAAATAAAAAAAAATACAACGATTTAAGAACCTCCTTTTTTTAAGTCTGTAAAAAAATATAGAATTGGGAATATATTCTTTTTTTTTTAAAAGTACTTGCGGGTAGGTAACACAAAGCCCCATGCTGGATACAAGTATAATTTATTTGGTCTCTCTGTGCAATCTTATTCACCTGAATTTTAAGGTCGTTAAATAAATGAGATTAGGTCCCTTCGCCCCCTGAAGTCCCTCAACGGCTCCTCGAACGGAATGAAAAGGCTTTGTGTTATTATTAAAAATAATTGGAGAAACTGCGCCCATACAAACTCCACAAAGGCCGAATTATATTTAAATATTATTTTTCTAAAAAATATTGAAACCGTTGTGAAATATATCATTTGTATTGAAATTTTCGGATCAATATACCCACGATTGTAATTGGAAACGTCTTTCATTCTTACAAGTATAATTAGGTACCTATGTAGTTGTCGAAAATATTGGAACATAGTTATGAATTGATATCAACATTTTTATATATGGTAAATTAGGGAACGTGTTTTCATTTCTAATTTAGGTTCTTAGTAATTTAGTATCAATATATCCAATTAGCTTTTAAACATAAACTGCGCCCCTAATTCTTAAAAAAGACCGATTTACAAACTTCATTCCTTTTTTCTCACTTTCCTTTTAAACTTAACCTTGCTGATTACTCTGTTTGAGTCATAGATTCTTTCATTTGCTCTTTTAATACATTTAAATGTTTGTTTTAATAATATTTTATGTATTAATTTATGTATGAATATATTTATTATTTTAACATATTATGTGTATGTTTATATTAGCCTAATTATATTTTTATAATATATGAATATATTGAATATTACTTTATATTTCCGCAATTCTATTCAAATAATGCACTGGCTACTTATTTCTTTGCAATAAGAAATAAATAAATTTACAGGTAAATATTTACATCACAAATCATGTAAATTATAACTAGTCTGGCCATAAATACCGTTACATACTTTTCTTTTTTCAACTTTTTAATTAATTTGAATTTGGAACACGTTTATTATTTTAAAAACTTTTTTCGATTTCGCGCCATTTCACATATTTTTACGAGTTCATTATCAAATTACAATATGGAATGTGGTGAGTTGTCAAAGAAAATAGAATTGCAGTGATCGCCTCGCACAAAGTGGGTATGGAGCCGTCGGTCATATTTTAGACACTTCAAAAGCTTAGTATCAGCCGTGTGTTCGTATATCGTACTATCGACAGATACAACAACACTTCCTCTGTCGAAGACCAGGAAAGATCGGGGCGGCCGCGTGCTGTTAGAACTACAAAGACTGTTAATGCTGTTAAAGTCAGAATTCGTCCAAACCCCATTAGGAAGCAAAAAATCTTATCACGTGTAATGAAGATTCCCGCTAGGACTCTGTCGCGTATTATAAAACAAGACCTAAAGCTCGGTGCTTATCGTCGATATACAGACAGATTAAAGGTCTGTATAAAAGCCAAAGGTGGCCATTTGAAATATTTTTTTTAAATTTTTTGTTGAGACTTTACTAAATATGTAGGTATAAATTTTAGTAATATTACATTACTTCATAAAAAGAATGCATTTTCATTTTTTGAAATTATTTGCTAAAGAGTAAATAATTTGCAAAGAGCATTGCACTGTCAATTACTACTTGTTATTTCTGTCTATGGTCGAATAGTTGATAACGCCGCTATTAACACTATGCGGGTGTATTAAAATTTAATAAATAAATAAATATTATGTGCAACAACAATATATTTCTTTATAACATAGAACAACAGAAAAATATTCATTTTAACATTTAAAAAAAAAACAGACTTAAAAACTACAATTTTGAAGCCGAAATTTTAATACAAACATTAGAAGGGACAAACTTTAATTAAAAAATATTAAATATTCTCTATGAGCACAGCGAACGAATTATAATGTAATTGTATTTTAATAATTTTAGCATATTAATATTAAAAATAATTAGTAAAATTAAGTGAAGAAAATATGTAATTTATTTAATTATTTTAATTATTTTTCGCGATAACCTAGCAGTAAGTCAGAAGTTCGTTGATGCTGCACGCTTTGTCACAGCATTCGCTCACGATGCCCTGGTACCTCTTCCCTCGGGACGGCAATCCCATCCTGGCTTTATGAGGAGCGAGCCATGGCCAGTCGAGGGACTCTTGCTCCTTGTAGTACGGTGATAAAATAGCCCCTGTAATAAAAAATAAGTAATATACTAATATATAAAAAAAAAACCGTATAACAATATTCGTCCACGCTAACATCCGAAACAGCTCGACCTATTTTAATGAAATTTTATAAATATGTATTGTTTATTATAATTTGTGGGATAGGGTAGTTCATAATATTCTGTTAAAAGAAATGATGTCTTAGGTCCCATCGCTTATAAACATAACGCATCTGCAGGGATATATAATGGAGACAACCAATATTTAACAGGATATACATAAGAATTAGTACTTATGAATGGGGAAAGGGATTGTTAGTAATGAGGTCTAAAATCTAGCAATATATCCTATCAGGTCGACCTCCACGCGGTTCCTCCTGGAAACCGTCGTGGTTAAATTGGTTAATTCTTGTGGAATTCGTCACGATGGGCTAACTGACCTGCATTTATCCTCACCTATTATCTCTTACTGGTGCCCGCCAGCGTATAACGCCGCAAGCAGGGTTACCATTCCTTTCTCACCCATAAAAAAGTCCTTATAAGTGGAGGGAAGAGACTGTTAATAAAGGAAGTCTAAAAATCTCATTACTTGTTACCCTCTAGATGTTAAGGGATATACCCTTAACATCTAGAGGTCAACCTCCACGCGATTTCTTTTGGAAATCATCATGCTTAATTACTGATAAATTCATCACGATGGATCCACTGACCTAACTTTATCCTCACCTATCCCTCACTTGTACCCCGTCATCATGTAAAATAAAATACTAAATAGTCACATACAGTCACAGTCGAAATAGTTCCTTGTGAGTAGTAATAAAGATTTTTATTTTTTAAACTTTACAAAAATTCTCATCTCCCCTCTTAAGGAGAGGAGATGGCAACTAACCCCCGGCAGAAACACAGTCGGCCGGGGTTCAGGGCCCCAGGGAGAGAAACCGGCGTACAATGCGGGCTTATTATTATTATTATTATGTACCAAAAGCACAGGCGGAGTTAATATTCCATAAAAGTCTTTATGACTACGATCAAATAAGTCCTGTCATGAACAAAATAATATCGAATCTGCTTTCTTTGTCCACGGTGTTTTTCATGTTCTACACAATCAAATCGCCGTATGGTCCCAGCATCGAACGAGCCACCGCTTCCTTTCCCGTGGGTGTCATAAGAGGCAACTAAGGAAACTTAATGATCGAAGGACGGGCGACAGTGTCCCTCTTAAAACATCACCAAAAGCTAACTTCAGGTGCCTACCCGCTTGCCAAACGTGGCAACTACTGGCAAAACACCCCAATAAGAAGCGGCCTATGTTCAGCAGTGGACAGTTCACGGCTGATGTAATCATGATGGTAATTTACAATTAAGGACCTAGGTCGCCTGCCGGTTTTAAAACTCGGTAAAATACTCTCAGGATTTAGACACTTACTGTACATAGTTCCAACTTCAGATTTCTTTTCTATGCCGCCGTCATCAAAACACAGGAGTGCGAGGGTGCGAGCCAACGTCCTTCCACAGTACATTTGAGGGTTGACTTCTTGGAGCGATATCTGATTACCGCCAATGTGTCCGCAACATATTGTGATCGTCGCGAAGAATATCAGAACTGTGAGAGATGGTTGGAACCTCATCTGAAAAATATATAATCCAGTGAAGATTTGTTAGGTCAACCAACAACATACAGGGGGGAAAGGGATTGTTAGTAATGGAAACTGAGAATCCCATTGCTAGCAATATACCCAACCAGGTCGACCTCGTCACGGTACCCCCTGGAAACTATCATAATTAATTCCAGATGAATTCATCATGATGGGCTAACTGGCCTGTTTTCATTCTCATTGATCAACCTTCACTGAAGCCCTTACTGGTATATATATATATATATATATATATATATATATATATATATATATATATATATATATATATATATATATATATATATATATATATATATATATATATATATAGTCGCATATTTCTGTAAATTTAAGTTTCTTTCTTTCTTTTAATAAATTTATATAAAAAAAAGTCTCTTACCTTTATCACGTGCACCCCTTCGTTTGCTTGCCAGTACTATGGTGTACTCCGTCGAATATTGACATTATATACTGTTTAAGTTCATTAATATTCATTACCTAATGTCAAGATGAGGAGTCAAACACGATGTGATGATGTGAACTTTCAGATTCAATAGGTGTCCCTGATACCTGTGAAATTTAATACCTATCCCTTCCATAATTCCAAGTAAACTAAGTTAGTCCCAACAAATAAACAAGTCGGTGACAACCAATATTTTTTATACAGAACCTATGAATTAGAATTACTAAAGCAACAAATGCCAGTAACTTTTTGAAACTCACGATCATAACCTTCGTTCCAATAATACTCTCCAACTATCTATCCCCTCTCACCGTACTGGTTTCGCTTCAAATTTATTTCGCCTACATTCATCACGACTCTGGAACGCGCTTCCTGATACCATTAAGAGACTACCGACTAAACCGCCTTTCAAAAAAATATATATTTTGATAATTAGAATTACTTTTTATTAGATTATTGTACAAAGTATCGTATAATTCAAGATTATGTTTCACAAAACAAAAACCGTCTTCAGTAATAAATAAACCAGTTAGTTATTTTTATTTAAAAACTGAACTTCTAAACCGATTTTGATAAAATTTCTAATGGGACCAATCTATAAGTATATCCTTTCAGATAAAAAATAATTTTTCAAATCGGTTTACAACTGACGAAGTTATGAGGTGAGAAACATAAAAAAAATACAAGCGTATTGAGAACTTGCCAGTCGTTGCCATGCTTGGCAGCTGATGAAGAGAGACGCTGCTGCTTATCTCTTGACCATTAAATTCGCTTAATCACTTGTTCAGGCACTCACGGGAAAGGAGGGGGTGGCCCCTCCTATGCCGGGACCACGCAGTTTTAAGCGATATATTTAATTTGCGTCAAATATCCAGACATGGGGGGGAAAGGGATTGTTAGTAATGGTGACTAAGAATCCCATTGCTAGCAATATATCCATTCAGGTCGATCTCCTCGCGGTTCACCCTGGAAACTATCATGATTAATTCCTGATGAATTCATCATGATGGGCTAACTGGCCTGTTTTCATTCTCATCTATCACCCTTCACTGATGTTTCGCCAGCGTATCCCGTTAGCGCAGGCGGGGTTACCATACCATTTTCACCCATCAAAAAAAAAATATCCAGACATCTTTTTATAGTTTTTCATTTCATATTTACGTACCTACTACACACATATACATAGAATGCACTTAAAAGAAATAACCCTACTTTATTCCTCGTTGGTGTAAAATACCTACGGTAGAATTGTGAATCTTCCCTTTTTAAAATTATTTAAAGCAACAAGTTTAGAACAAGCTAATCAAATAATACGTAACGTAATCAATGCATATAGAATACTGATGTTTACATTTTAAAAGTATGTTTATTTTTTAATAGATACTATGTAGGTATTAAGTTCCATAATTAATTCATAATCGCTACTCCATATTTCACACTACATGAATCTTGTTTACCTAACGATAAGCACTTGGTACTCGAATATTTTCACTAATATCTACTCGTACGTAGCAACCTGTAACCTTTCCTTCCCGTGGGTGTCATAAGAAGCGACGAAGGAAACTTAATAATCGACGGATAGGCAGCAGTGTCCCCTTTAATAATCCCCAAAAGCCTGCGGTTGCCAACCGGCCTGTTCTATCAAACCTGATTATACAATCATACATACATTTAAGGAGTGGGGGGAAGGGTTTGTAAGCAATGCAGCCTACCAGTCACATTGCTAGCAATATACCCTATCAGGTCAACCTCCACGTGGTCCCGTAGTCACGATGGACTAACTGACCTGCCTTTTCATTCTCATCTATCATTTCTCAATGGTGCTCCGCCCGCATATACCGTTATCACTACATTGTTAGCTATTAAAAAAACATACAGATACATTTTATACATACATACATATATATGTATTAATCTTATATTATATAGATAGAATGTTTCTATACAAACGCTTCGAGAAAAACAGGTCAACTTTTTCATACAATTTGGCGTGATAAATAGTTATTAATGATACCTTTATAACTTCTATATTTATTTTGTCTTATGAATTCTAAATCTTTTAAATGCGTTTTTTTTTTGATGGGTGAAAATGATATAGTACCCCGCCTGCGCTAACGGGATACGCTGGCGGAGCACCAGTGAAGGGTGATAGATGAGAATGAAAACAGGCCAGTTAGCCCATCATGATGAATTCATCAAGAAATAACCATGATAGTTTCCAGGGGGAACCGCGAGGAGCTCGACCTGGTTGGGTATATTGCTAGCAATGGGATTCTCAGTCTCCATTACTAACAATCCCTTTCCCCCCTTTTAAATGCGTTAACCTTTATTTTATTTATCAAATAATACGTCAAGATACATTGTATGCGTAAGTATATAGAACACTGATAAAAAAAAAACGAGTCAGCTAATTTGACAATTAGCTGACAAAAAGTTGACCCGTTTTTGAGGCTCAATGATTTATCTATATAATCTAAGATATTAATCTACGATTTAATAGTTTTAAAGTTCCAATAATGTGGCGTCGCGCCGCCGCGTCGCTCGGCAGCGATGCTACCGCTAGCTCTTGATCTGGCGCGCACTTAAGCCGTCAAATAAGATGAAACGGAGCGTAATATAGGATCTGACGTGCCCTCCAAACAGCACGCTGTTGGCACACTTCATTTGCTGGAATTCTGTTCCGAGCCGTTGCACGTTTTGATGGAATAGATAGTTACCTATGTATCTTTAGGCTGGAAATAAGCATTAAATGTCTTACGTAATTTATATTTTACAGTTTAACTAGTAGTGTCTCGCAGATTTGTCTGTGTGATTTGAGCTATAAATTAAGTACTTCGTCGTACCGCTAGTGAATGACCGGGAATCCATCATCACACCTTGGAACCAGGCTGGTCACTCACATTGAGATTTCAGAGAAGCTTCCTCCGCGAACACTCAGGTTATGGAATGATCTTCCTACCATAGCTTTCCCTAGAAACTATAGCATGGGGTTCTTCAAAAAGGGCGTATTAATGTTTCTTAAGGGTTGCCAACGCGCGCGTCACATCCCTGATGTTATAGTTGTCAATAGGCTACGGTAACCCCGTTTACCATCAGACGGGCTGTATGCCTGTTTGTCACCACAGTAGTATAAAAAAGCCTAAGATAGACAGCGTCGAGTCGAGAAATCTACGCATGTTCTTTAGCCGCTGTTGAACCACTTGTTCTTCTATATACTCGTATGTGCCAAACAGTTACCAATCACTTCGTTTTCTAGTCAATTGCGGACAATACATCCTAACAGACCGACCTCAGAAGAAATTATTAGTAGTTCGGGTTACTAGTCCCATCGCTACCAACGTACCCTGTTAGGTCGACCTCCACTTGGTTCCTCCTGTAAACCATCGTGCTGAATTCCAAGTGAATCCCGCCTGTGCAATCGGTTTACGTTGACGAGGTACCAATGAGGGACGATACGTGAAGATAAAAACAAGTCAGTTATCCCATCGTGATGAAATTCACAAGAATTAATCACGATAGTTTCAGAGGAAACCGCGTGGAGATCTACCTTATATTACTAACAATGGAGATGTTAAACCCTCATTCCTAACAACTCCTACACTCCGCGTTAGCGGGATTATCGTTTCATTTAATTACCCATTAAAAAAACCTTATCCTCGCTTGTACCCACCAGCGAAAACTTCACCATTTTAATTTAAAAAAAAAATGCATACGGAAGAACTATAACTGTAACTATAGCAATATATAATAATAGCCTGACCAGGGGGAAAGAGATTGTTAGCAATAAAGTTTGACAGCCCCATTGCTAGCAATATGCCTTATTAGCTCGACCTCCACGTGGTTCCCCCTGGAAACCATCGTGAACAATTCTTATTGAATTCATCACGATGGGCTAATTAACCTGTTTCATCCTCATCTATCATCCTTCACTGATGCCGCGCCCGTGTATACCGATAGCGCGAGTGGGATTACCATTCCATTATCATACATTAAAAAAAAATATGCCCGACCAAAATAAAGTCAAATATAGATGTATAGTAAAATCCTTTAAGCTGTCTATATTGAATTGAAAAAAAAAAACAGAAAGATCAAACTGACAGTTACTACCAAATGTCATAGTGAACTGCTGTCAATTGATACCTTTTATTTTGGTTTTTATACAGACAGCTGACATACAATGCAGTTGACAATTTCATTTATTTAGGTCCGTGTCATGTTTAACAAAACACATTTGCATATTTTGCATGCGACCAGAGCTTTCTATTTAAAAAAAATACACTATAAAATAGCTAGATTTTTCATCACTCCTACCCATATCGAAATTTCGTACTATATCGCATTATAAATAGTTGTACAACACTTTTAATACTAATTTAGTTTATTGTATTAATACTTCTAGGTGGTTACATAGATATATTTTTTAGTTTTGTTATTATTAAAGGAGTGTCAACACATAAATAAATAACATAGTGAAAGTACTATACAAACTTCATGTTATTTTTATTTACGTTTACCGCATGACCACAGTCACACAACTATGCTCGTTCTTGAGCTCACCTACTTTACGAAATTTTAGAAAGTAAACACCTAACTATGTGCCTAGTTCTAGTTCACAATACTGTTAGTCTTAAACTACAAGAACACGCACGTTCGTTTACAGTGTCCGTTTTTTTAAGTCCATTTCGTGTATCCGTTGCGATTTAATAAAATGTTAAATATCTTAGATATTATTTTCTTAGGCTTAGCTTTCGCTGCGACAGTTACCGGTGTTTTGATTAATAATTTCGAAAAACATGTGCCGCCTTTTATCATAAAGGGTTATAGATATGGAAGCTTTGCTTATAAAGGATCGGACGCAAATTTTTTACAATTAATAGAAGTACCTAAAGCTTGGTACAGGCATTTTTATTTATTTTCCTCCTTATTCGGTGTGATCACTTTAACCTACATGACATCGGTCTATTATTTCAATTTGACAGTAAATAAATTTTTCACAATCTTACTGAGATTATTATTAGAACAAGATGAACCTACAGGTAAGTACTACAATTTTTATATTTATTATAAAAACATTGTTTCCCTCGTGCTAATAAATGATATATTTTATATTTTGATTCTAGTAATTGTCAGCACTAGATACTATTTTTAATTTAACATTATAAAACTTATATAGTGGACATAGTTCTATGATTTTTCATTAATTATAATTAATATGTATTAAAGAGGAAAAATAATAGAAGAGAAATGTATTCTTATATTGCAAAAATATAAATTAATAATAAACTTATTTAATTATTAAATGATAATTAAAAAAGTTCTATTAATTTTATAAATGTGAAAGTTTGAAAGGATGGTTGGATATTTGTACTCTTACATTTAAAAACTGTTTGAATGATATTTGGTACATAGGTAGCTTATATTGTAATTTAGCTGAACTGATTCCTTTTGCCTAGTATGGGACACTTTTTCTATATGTATTGTACTGGCAATAAATGTTTTCTATTCTATTTAGAACACATGATCCTTTATGTACTGGTTCATCCAGAAGCCGCAGTATTAATTTCACCTTTATGTTGCAGTATCAGTGACAGCAGCTATAATAGCAATGACTTTATTAACAATACAATGCCTAAAAAGACTGTACGAGACATACATTGTCCAAGTATTTGCCAAGTCAAGCAAAATGAATCTTAGCCATTATTTGGCCGGTATAATTCACTACTTTGCATGTATCGTTGCCACTGTTGGACAAGCACCTCTCTTTTGTGGTAAGAATGTTTTTTGCATTTATTAATTATATATGATAATTTTAAATTCTTTAATATAACCTAACCTATACAAGATGAATTTGAGGAACAGAAACGATTGTTTCTTTTATGGGGGGAAAATTATAGATGACCCCATCTGCACTATCAATTTACACTGGTGGGCCCCCAGTAAGATATGATTAAAGAGGATGACGCAAGTCAGTTAGCCCATTGTGATGAATCACAATTGTTTCCAGGGAAACTGCGTGGAGGTCAAACTGATAGGGAGGGTATATTGCTAGTAGTGAAGCAATTAGAACCTATTACTAACAATCCCCTTCCTCCCCAAGTTAGGAAGTATTATCAGTTATCTAGTACAAGTACACATGTGAGTAGTACCCCCAATTTTATGCACATAGATTTTGGAAATTTTACCCTTTTTCGGCATTGAATTTTGAAAATTCCATTCTTAATGTTCACATATGCTATATATATAAAGATAATATTTGGAAAAATTTCAAGACTACAAGATTTTAGCTGTTTCAGCTGATGTGTGTTGTTATATATATATATATATATATATATATATATATATATATAGAAGTTGGAGGGAGAAGTGAAGAAACTCTTCGGTATCACATATCTGATACCGCATGAGATAATGTGGGAGTGGGTAAGAAAAACTTGTATATTTTAGATCGAGCGATATAAAATATATATATATATATATAATTAAATGGTAGGTAGTAAGACATAATAGATCAGAATGAAATTAGCTCAAACTCATTGTGATGATCTGACATATTGATCACTATAATCATCAGAGTTAATTTTAAAAGAAAAAACTGTATTGCAAATTGCAGGGATGAACCCACAACTATTGGTAGGTGAAGCAAGATCTCTAATTATATATTTAATACCTAATCATGACCTTGGAAGTTAAAATAATATTCTATTCCTATATAATTTATATTCATGACAAGAAATCAACGACATTGATGTGCTTGTTATAGAATTAATGATGTACCTTTGTATGCGACACTTGAAGTAATACGTGTATTTATTGCGTTCCTTTAATAATACTTGAGATATATACTATAATATATATATATATATATATATATATATATATATATATATATATATATATATATATATATATATATATATATATATATATATATATATATAATGGTGGTACTGAATAAAATAAATTAATAACGAATTCCTAATGTACCTATATATTTTCTTTCTCAGTACTACAAATTAGTTTGTTTTTATACAACTGCCGCTGGTAGGGGGAAGGGGATTGTTAGTAATAGGAACTTTTTAATGGGTTATAATGAAACTACTAGAGGGAAAAGGATTGTTAGTAATGGGGTCTAACTGACCTATTGCCTATATACCCTATCAAGTTGACCTCCACTTGGTTCCCCCTGGAAACCATCTTGAACAATTCTTGTTGAATTCGTCACGATAGGCTAACTGACCTACTTCATGCTCACCTATCATCCTTCACTGGTGCCCCGCCGGTGTATACCGATAGCGCGGGTGTGGTTACCATTCCATTATCATCTATTATAAAAAAGGCCGTCCATTGTTGAACATAAACCTCCCCTTTGGGGGGGTTTGCCAGTAGTTACTACGCTTGGCAGGCGATTTGGTAACTGCAGTCAGACTTTAGAGACGTTTTAAGAGGGACGCTGCTGCCCATCCCTCGCCGTCCCTTAGTCGGCTTTTACGACACCCACGGTAGCCTATTCTATGCTGGAACCACACGGCCAGACACATCATATATAACGCATGAATAGAAATAAAAACTAAGTATGTTTCAGGTAACCAAAATAGAGAATACATAACTTGGAATGATACTCGTACCACTGTTCTGGCTATACCTTGCTCCTTAATATTTCTGTTCGCCTGGTACGAACAATTCAAGACCAATATTATATTTGCGAATTTAAGAAAAGACAAAAAATCGGGGAAGGTGGTCACCGAAGAGCACAGTGTGCCTAATGGGAGGCTCTTTAAATATATTTCCAGTCCACACAGGATGTGCGAGATAATTATATACACAGTCCTATTGCTTTTGATACCTACAAAAACATTCTTCTGTATATACTTGTGGGTTTTGGGCAATCAGGTAAGTTGTTTCATGTATTTAAAAAAATTAACTCTCACTATGCTTATAATTTGATAGGTACTTAATTTTTTCATTTATTTATTTATTTATTTTCTCCACAAATTTTACAGAAAAATACAGTTACATGAAAAAAATACAACTATTTATGTATGTATAATTACAATGGTCTGTAAAACTTGTGTGAGACTGGACCCTAAACTAGATCAGAGATCTGTATCTCAGGAATCCAGACCCCCAACTCGGACACAATGTACAGCTTGCATTAAGCATTAAGAATATTTAAATAGAAAGGAAATCTGTGGTCCGCATATTCCCGCCAATTTGTTTTTTTTTTTTTAGTTTATGGTAGCTGTGTTTATTTTTAAGCAACTTCAAAAAAAGAAAGTTCTCAATTCGGTTGTATTTTTTTTTATATCTGTTATCTCAGAACTATCATTTATAAACCGATTTGCAAGTTCTTTTTCGAATTTATTCAAATAAATAAATTTAATTTTATGATTCCATTTACAGTACTTATACTTAGTTTCTTTATTTTTATTATAGAATGTTACGGTTATAAATATTTATATATTTCAGATACAAACCGCCATTCAAGCCCACGAATGGTACAAGAAGACATTCAAAAACTATCCCACAGAGAGGCTTGCTGTTTTCCCATATTTATTATAACTTTATAAGACTGATTATAATATTATTATATTATTTTTGTATATGAAATGATCTATTTAAGATAATAATTATATTTATTGAAATAATTTAAGTGGGGAAAGAAAATTAATTAATATAAGATTGTTAATCTTTTTAGATATACAGATAAAGAGATGCTATTTATTATTTTAAAATATTATTTATTTATTTAGATTACAGTAGAAAATTTGACAGAAAAATAAATTAAGAAATAGATCGCGTAGAGAAAACAATGAGTGGCCTTATTACTGAAAGCGATCTCTTCCAAATAACCTTTGAATCAAGAAGACTATTAAACAGATCAGAGGAACAATAACATTGTCTGTTTATCGAATTATAAATTAATAGGAGTAAAATAAAAATACCAAATAAATTAAATCTTTTATTTGACTACTGACAGTGATAAATCATATTACAAACACACCATATATATATACGAACATCAACAATGTTTCACACGTGGAGCATTCACTTCAACCTCCTGGACTTTCTTATAAAAATATTTAAATTGGAAAACACCTATTTGAACAGGAAGCTGAAACAAAATTTAATTTTTTCACTAAGTATTTTTTATCATTATAACAGCCAGGCAAACAAGCTGACGGGCCACTTTATGGAAAGTGGCAACCGTCGCCTATAGACATGAGCAGTACTATGGACATAACAGAGTATACTGTTTCGCCCATGATACCCCCCATGCGTTGCCATTCCTGAGGACTCGGATGTTATTCCTCTGTACCCTGTAAATTCACGACATATCCCACCCTTCAAACCGAAACACAACTGTGTTACGGTTGAAACACGAATGGGACAGAGGTAGCCAAGCAAATGACTTGTACAACGTCTCCCTCTGGTATATTATACTAACTTGATAACCAGGCAATTGTGTAAAATAAAGTAAAATATATATACCTGTAAGGATAGCCCTGGGTTTTAGCTCTAAATACGGACAACAGCAGTGAGAAGAACACGCAAACTACAACCAAACCCACAACTGACTGGAACCTCCTTCTCTTGCCTTCGGTTTGTGTGCGTGACACTTCCGTGTTTTTAACGCCTCCCGCTGCTTCTATCATTAGGATCATGCCTATGACAACAGCGCAGTCTGGTGGGAAGTTAAGGAAATTTAGACATGAAAAAAATATTGCTTATTATCTTAATGAATCAAATTATTGATCAATTATTGTTCAGAGACATATCCTGTGACTTTGTACATGTGAATTATAATATAGAACATTCTAGAATATAAGCAGTCTCTATGTATGTTTGAGCGTGATTGAGTAACATCCAAAAATGTTTATTATCAAATTTATATATATATATATATATATATATATATATATATATATATATATATATATATATATATATATACGACTTAGATATGAGTATATATATGATAGACTATGAATTAGCGGTGGTAAAAACAATGGTGAAATTAACAGTTTTAAAAATAATATTATACTTTGTTAATTTGCAATCTATCGTATAATGACAATGTAACAAGGAAATAAATTTTAAAAGGATACTCAAAATAGCTACAATGTAGCTCTCTAACACAAATTGCCCATGAGATCCACCATTGATGTAGACGGGACCGTTTTTGGTCCTGTGGTAAAATGGTGGCCCTCTAATTTGGTTCCACATTTGGCCAGAGACCATGGCGAAACAGAAGAAAACTGCGGCCACTGCCCACATTTGCTTGTTGTAGAGGAATTCTAGGTTGTTACGGCGAAGGTACAGGAAACCAGCAACGAGGGTGAAGAGCATAAAGAATGCTACAGCTCCAGAGTAATTTGGCGGGCGGAAAACACGAATCTGTGAAATGAACAGAAAAAAAATTAATACTGCCATGTTAAGAACTACTGATGTCCAATACAAATGGCCAGTTCAGGTCCAATAAAAGTAAAAAAATAAAGAATAAAAAATATAGTTAAAGCAGTTAATTTAGAAAAGCGATTTTTCTAAACCTATCTAAAATTATATTTTCAATTTGATATCACAGTGCAATATTTATTCTAAAGACCAATATGAACTAAATTTCCAATAGATTTATGTAAAAAAAATATAAATTTTTTATGATTTTTTTTCTTTTTATTAACTCAAAGGAAGATTAAGAAACAAATATCACTTATAGGTAGACATTACTAGTAGCTATGTCATTTAGTATTTTTTTTTCAGTGATCATGGAATGGTATCCTCGCCTGCGCTATCGGTATATGCTGGCAGAGCACCAGTGAGGGATGATAGGTGATGAAAGCAAGTCAGTTAGATCATCGTGACAAATTCCACTAAAATTAAGAGTTTAAGAGATAGGTTTAATGAAATGGTGGTTGAGGATCAACCCCTATAGTACCTGGACATCTGTTCTGTCTTGAATCCACTTTGCTATAGCCTCTGCATGAATTCCAGCCCTTTCAAAGTCCATAGAGTCAGCTGGTTTTGGCTTGCCTTTAGCAGGAAAATGCATGATTACTGGTGCTGTGTTGAGGCGAAGCTGAAATTTTTTTATTTACACCAACTGAATTATTTTGTTTATAATTTAAGTTTACAATTCAAAAGGATTTATTTCTAGTAATTAAATTTACAACTATATTTCATCTTATTTATTTCTTGTCTGCACATAAAGTGAAAGGATTTTCTACTACCATAATAATTTTGATAAGGGGCAAAATTACAACTTTTTTTTTTATACCACTGAGGTGGCAAACAAGCATACGGCCCACCTGATGGTAAGCCTATGAAAAGAATTTCAATATAATATCCATTTCCTATGATTATCAATATGATTTCAGTTATAGTTTGTTTTTTTTATGAATTTAGTACTTGTCTATATAAATCTATTAGATAATTATTGCTTGTGAGAACAAGAAACAAAGCAGGGTTACCCAACAAGTATTTTTTTTAAATAAAGCTGTTTTATTTAAGATAAAAAAACATAAGCAGAAGGAATGTTCCTTGCCTGTAATTAATGAATGAGAACTTAGTTTATAATAAGCATTCAATAGTCTAAGTTTGAAATATCACAATTTATATATTCTTCTTTTATATATTCTTAATTTTATGTTTAATTTTTAGTTTACAACAAAATGTAAATAATTACACTAATATATATATATATATATATATATATATATATATATATATATATATATATATATATATATATATATATATATATATATATATATATATATATATATATATATATATATATATATATATATATATATATATATATATATATATATATATATATATATATATATATATATATATATATATATATATATATATAGTTTAAGGCAGAGATTTGTATGAGAAAACAGACAATAAAGCATCTGAAGGTACAACTGAAAGTTTGTTTGTTTCAGAAATTGTTCAAATTAAAAACATCAACCAAAAATTTGTTTCAGATTAAACTTAAAAACTAATTTATAAGTATTTTATATAAATGTAAACGTAATATATAAAATTAATGTACAAGAAACTACTTACCATTTGGAAAATATCAGATCCTTCATCAAAATCTACCATACCAAAGAACAGCTTGTTGTTATAGGATGGCGCGAATCTAAACGAATTAGCTACAATTAAGTACTCCTCATAGACGTGTTGGCAAATAGTGCAACGTCGAGAGGGAGCCATGGCAGTGAACATCACTATGAAAGAATAATCTCTCGGCGGACTCTTTACATATTCTTTAAACTTGCTAAGATTCAATGAAATTATACTCTTCTTTGCTGTTAAATCGGTTAATTGCTGTACTTTCTCATCCAGCTGGAAATATATGAAATATAATATTAATTCAGTACCTAATTAGAAAACAAAACCGGTGTTTTTCTATTGATGAAACTCACCCCTTTTGTGCGAGTTTGCGCCTCTCCACCATAGTAAACTAGGAACACAGTAAAACATAACAAAACTTTGTACTTCATAGTAAAGTTTAAGTAAGATTTAATTTAATATTTAAAATCTTTTTTCCAATATGAAAATTTAATAGGTAAAAAAAAAACAATTAAATGACGTGTTCGCTCAAACCCCTGTTTGACATTGACAACAACAATGAACTGTCATTCATGATGGTAAGATATCATTGTGGCAGTCTTGCCATAGCCTCTGTAGTCTATGGTCTTGCCGTAGAAAAAGAATACCGTCATAGTTAAATACTTTAATTTAGCAAATATATTTATTAGATATGTTATTTTTAATCCTTCCCAATTTAGAATAAAAATTTTCTATTTGTATGTTGTATAGAAAGCTCCTAAAATACATTGACATTTTTATATCTTTGAAAAAATCTCGGAATTTCTTGGTAAGCGATGAATGGCGCCGATAAATGTTGTGAATATAATAGAATATACTGTCAATGGTGTCTCATGCGTGGTTACTTCTATATAACGACTCATGTTAAAAATCACTAACAATTTTACCTAGCTGCTTCAATATCACAAACTATAGAACTGGTATAGTATACTTATATAAACTACGACCCCAAATAATAATTGGGATAAGGGTAGGAAGATGATGATAGTATACTTACGCTGTATAAGGTATAGTTGTAGGTAGGGGTTATAAATCATTATAGAATTTTAATGTTTCAGGTCTGTAATCAATAGGGTAGTCAAAGATATCGCTGCTTAATATAAACCTATCAAAATATTCATCTATGCTTCTGTATACGCATATTATACTAAAGAATATTGGAATCTGCGAATTTGCCAGTCTGAAGGAATATGGTAACGTTTTGCCATTACATAAAAATAATTCAGCAAAATTTATTAAATAAAAGCGTATATAAAACAGTAGAAATGAAACATGTAAACGAGATACGATTTGTTATAATTCATAGGTTTTTTTGTTTTGAATGTTAAACAAACTGAAAGCCCACATAAATAAAAAAAGGTAAAAGTCATCTATAGACAATTTATTTTAGGGCTTTAATTTTTCAGGTAATAGGTCCTATCTGGAGAGAAAGGGAAATTGAGACAGAATTCCATTACTAGCAATATACCCAACTAGGTCGAGCTCCTCGTGGTTCTCGCTGGAAACTATCATTGTTAATTCCTGATAAATTCATCATGATGGGCTAACTGACCTGTTTTCAATTTCATCTATCACCCTTCACTGGTGCTCCGCCAGCGTATCCCGTTAGTGCAGGCGGGGTTCTATATAATTTTCACCCATCAAAAAAGAAATAGGTCCTATCGTACCTTGAACTGACTAAAAAATACAGTGACAGCTGTCATGTTCATGGGATTGGCAGCAGCTACTGTAACGTCCCCAATATTCCTCTAGGACTATGTCATATTAGTTAATTGACAATATTGGAGTAATTTTCAGATATTTAACAAGAGTTACCATCTCCATTAAAAGTTATGATGCGGGTTTAAAAGTGCAATAAACGCCTCCTATTTAATTAACTTATCTGAGATGCAAATTAAATTGCATTCTTTAATATCTGAACATTGTAAAATTCTTTCATATTATAACAAAATAAAACTTATGTCAAATTCAGGATCTGAACTATAGGGTAGGTACAGACAACAAAAATTAAATTGGAATCAACAGAAACACTTGATTTATAATTTACAGTAGTTATTTTCAAAATATTTTATTAACACAATTCATTCAATAACACCAAAGATTATAACATTCTCTAACATGAACCTAAAATAAAATACAATTTTACCTAGATGTATTTACTTACCAATTTATAATCATTCAAACATCATTTCGACTATGAGGTATACAGAATAAATATATTTGAAATATTTCACATTATAAGTTGTCAGAAATGTACCATTTTATTATATATATAATTATGTATAATGATTACGACAGTGCAGTGTCATATAAGTCATGAAAGCATCTGGCTAGGCTGCCTTCCTAATATAATTATATTAATACTTTCGTTCGTAAGATCGTGAAAGGAAAATAAAACACACAAAACAATCAAGTAGAAACAAAATAATATGGAATGTACAAATCATGTTTATTTACTGATTCCTGGCAATACAATGTTTGTGACTCGCTTTTGATTTGTCACTCGAAATTAATAGTTATAATCGTCCACAGGGCCCATAACAGTTCGATAGGATACAAACATCCACTATAACACTGAAAGCTATATAGCATGAATTACTTAAGCCAGGTATAACCTCAACTTCTCAGCTCAGAGACACGGTACACAGTACCCTGGGGGTTTTAACGGTTCATAAATTATGTTAACATATCTTGGACTTAAATTTCTACTCTAACTGTACATTAGTTTCGCCTTAATGCTAAAAATAATCTAAAAATGATATCGTCAGATTGTAATGTGTTCGCGAGGGGTGGAACGCGCAAAACAAATTGATATGTCGTAGGTGAAACGAAGTCCCCCTGTCACCGAAAATGAAATACAACTGCGGCAATAAATTATAGTTAAATTAAAAGAGTGTCATCGCGCGGTAGCGTTACAAAACATGATTGGGATACGAATATTACGATCGTATTATAAAATTGAAATAGAAAAATCATTTATACAGTTCGCGGCTCGAGGCACGGCGCCGCCGCAGCATCTAGGCGGCGCGGGGCCGGACACCGGCGAGAAAATATAAATATGATTAACGTTCAAGTACTCAACAAGTATACTATACAAGGTGTGCTCCGAGGCCCTATGCGGTCTACCGCTAGCTACCGGCGACGACTTCCCTGTGCGCGATGATTGAACAGATTCTGGCGCTTTGAGCATAGAATCTCGGAGCACGGCGACGGGAGAGGAGTGTGCTCGGCAGATTTACTGTTTCGTGTATAGGTAGATGGCTACGATGAGACCGTATAGACCCAATACTTCGGCGAAAATGAGGATAAGGATCATTCCGACGAATAACCTCGGCTGTTGCGCGGTACCACGGACGCCGGCATCACCCACGATGCCTATGGCGAAACCAGCCGCTAGACCTGAGAAACCTACGGCGAGACCAGCACCCAAGTGGATGAACCCTCTGTAAAGATAGATAACACATTTGTTAATACAAGATTCAAATAGTTTACTTATGATGTGAACAATTGGCTTATACTTTTTTTTAAACGGAGATACCTTAGGTACTAATAATGACGATAGTGAAGTAAATCATCATACTCTAGGCCTACCATATTAATTTGCGATTGTTGCAGTAAATTCTCTTTTACTATTTCTATACAATTATCATTCCTCAATTTACACCTCACTCAAAAATATTCTTCCTCTATAAAGACAGTTTGAAAAGAAGCACAAAGTCAGACCATTTGTTTAAGATCTTTAGAAAATAGAACTAAATTCAAATTAAATTTGAAAAAAAAAATCATCTAAGCCCCCAGAATAAATGTAAAAAACTATTTTAATGGTTAATAGAAAATGAACCCCATTATAGCTAAATAATAGCTGGATTTTTAATACCGATAGTTTTTGCACAATTTAAGATTTTTTTACTATTCTATAGCATTGTCACGAGGTAAACAATATAAAGTTTTTTTTAATAAAAAATATTACATTAATATCTATCAATTATTTCAAGAGATTGATTTTACAAGTACTTCTTATATCAAATTATATCTTGACACCTCTTATCACTGTGTACCTAGGCACTTTAAGATCTTTACAACTGTCAAGTATTGCATTTACAACTTGTTTCTACAACAATATTTCACCATAAAATACCAGACATACAAGCTAGATACTTTTTTTTTTATAACTTCTGGTTGCAATGAGACAGACAATTTTCATAATTTATTTACAATAAATTAAACATGTCAGGTGTTGTTTGTTCAGGTGGATAAATGTGAATTCAGTAGATACAACATTTTCCGCTGAATCAAAGTTATGATAGTGAATCATTACAATAATTTCTTATGTGGTTAAGCAGAGATAATGATAAAAATCATATATGAATTTGTACAGTTACATGCCTATCTATAGCAATTATGTACTTACTACTACACTATGAAACTTATATAGTTTTTCCTTATATGTTTAGGTACAATACAAAAATAATAGATACAGACTGACAAAGAAAAACATTAAATAAACTTGATTAATTCATTAATTAATGTATTAGAACATTTACATTTAATGAAATACATGAAATGACAAATTAGTCATTAATTTAAAAAAAAATTTTAATACTATTATTACTCTCCCTAAAAGTAATTTTGAAGTATTCTGGCTTGTAAAATAGAACCTTCATATAAAACTTAAAAAAATATATACTTTTCTTTTTCCATTTCATTTATCACATTATCTATGTGTAATGTAATGCATATGAGAATGCACATGGCAATACAAGGAATTTATTAACCAATTCTAAACATAATTCAATCTATGTGATAAATCACATGTAAATCATTAAAACTATGCATTATTGAATACTAAATCAAATATGTTCACAAATAATTCTTAATTTTTTTTTAATGGCCTTATCAAGCGACCTATTTGCAACAAAACTGCAAATCATCAAGTCGCGTTATTTACCTGTAACCTTGTATTACATCACAGCAATCCATTGAGAGATTGCAGGAAATAAAATCACTGAACCATGATGTTTGATAAAAATTATAAAGCTTTGCATTGTTTATGTAATCTATAAGATAAGAGTTTTGAATTATGTAATCATTTTTATTGAAAATTATAGCTATTCCACCATGATTTACGTTCTTTTTAAATATCTTTTACTTATTTTATATGCTTGGTGAAATTTGGTAATATAAAGTGTCACCACTACAACAACAGTTGATAAATGGCTCTGATAATCCCATATTAAGGAATGTAGTCAAGTTATAAATTTTCAATTTGTATTAATTTAAATTTAGTTTTAATAATTCAATATTGAAAATACATTATTAAAACATAGAATAATTACATATTTTATAAAAATGTACATACTTTGTCAAATTATAAACCAGTAATAATATATATAGATTAAAGGAAAGCGAAATAAAAGTATTACTTTATACAAAACAGTTATAGTAACTGTTTGTAAGTTAAACCCATACAATAAGTTGGTTAAATCACTGGTGTACTATTTAACTGATTACTTACATAATATATATATATATATATATATATATATATATATATATATATATATATATATATATATATATATATATATATATATATATATATATATATATATATATATATTTATATATGATTAAACATTAGGCAATTACTTCACTTTAACAACTGTTTAGTGTCCAAGTTGTGATCTTTGTTTTGAAAAATATTTTAAAATATTAATCTACCTAGGCTATAACTTATTCATATGGTAGGTAATAACACTAGTAAAGTCTATTTATATATATATTTTTTTTTATTTATGCTGGATATAGGACATGATTTTAGTACATCAAAGATGAATCATAATTCATTAAAAGAGAATGTGCACGTTCTCCATATATTTGATGATATGACAAAAGATGTAAAAATAAGAAATTCTCGAATATAATAGATTTGTGTGTCAGACTGCTCTAAATGCTGAATAAACAGCATCAGGGTAGGACAAGCCACTTATCAGGGAAGACATATGTATAGTGATGTTATATAAAAGCTGGAAAATTCAATTAACATTTGTTATCCAACAATTTGAGTAAATAAATTTTTGGATTATTATAAATTTACACATTCCCTTCAGCATTTGCATTGAAACTTCTATCCATTCTAATATACATTCCTTACTGTCTCTGATTACAAACCTCACAAGCACACAGTAGTATCTACCCTCAAAATAAGATAATAGTAAGGTAACATCAGGAACTATATAGAATCACTATGATCATGTTCCAAAGTTCCAAGCAACAAACTTAAAACGAAATCAAAGCTGGATAATGCTCATAAAAATAGCTGTACATTGTAAATAATTTAGTACTGACAGTCATGAACATCTAAAAAAATTTACTATTCCACTTTTGAATCAATATAAATCAAATATATTGGAGGTAAAACAGGAAAAAGACACCAGTCTTCAAGTTTTATTTGTAGACTACAATTTAATGTCAGGTATTAAAAAAAATTACCATTGAGGTTATCCACTCTAATAAAACACCATAGCAGCTTACAAGACACTGGTTTTCGCCTACAAGTTAAAATAAAACCATATAAATTGATACTCACTTGTATAGGGTGTAATTGGCGGGGCCCTCCAGGGAACCCGCGATAAGTACAGCCACCACCAACCCGTAGATGGCGATGATACCCGCCATGACGACGGGAATGATGGACTTCATGATGAGCTCGGGCCGCATCACCGACATGGCGGCGATACCTGTGCCTGACTTCGCTGTGCCATATGCAGCTCCCAGCGCTGAAATTTTATAATGCAAAATATTAATCTTTATTTTAGAAGACAATATAACATATAGAATTGGTACTAAAACACAGATTATAAAAAAAAAAAAAACAAAAAAAATTAAATATATAATAACTTGTGGTATCCTATCAAAGGAATTGAAAAAGGCTTTGAAATTGAATATCAAATAATTAGTGGAAAATGAGGAAATAAAGGAAAATATTCATTGCAAGAGTGAAAAACAGTTTTTCAGTAATAAAGGTTTTATTATAATAATTAAATGCATCTCCATTTATTAACTGGATTTTTACTTATGACTTCAGCCATTATCCAACATTAGCATAAGAATATTGGAAAATATTTAATAATGCATGCCTGTACTGTATAATATGAAATTACTTGCCCAATTTCAAATTTGTATGTAGTTTTTTAAGTATCATGACTAGTCAATGAGTGATTGGTTTTGTATTATGGTCTAATATTATTATTTCATTTTACATTTTTGAAAATTTTATACATACATAGATTACAAGCAATAATAGTACTAGTATAAGAGTATTAACTACTTAAACAGTTTGAATGAGAAAATTTCATTTGTATGATGTCTATATATCCCTAGGGCACATAAATATAAGCAGAAAAATAGGTTTGTATATATATATATATATATGTATATATATATATATATGAAATGCAAGATGCTTTTTCATAACTAAACTACTCTGTACAAAATACTTCTTGTAATAAAATAAATCAAACAATATTCACATAGTAGAATTTGTGACAAATACATCTATGACACTTTTAAACTATTAAATTTATAGATTTTTTTTAGTTCCTAATATTCTAATAATAGTATATATTTGAACATTGTTTAATAATCTGCTGAACAGATTTGAATGAAATTTAGGAAAAATTTATACATACTACAAAATAATACATAGGGTATATTATATAATAATTCATGGTGGCAAAACTACAGGATACAGCTAGTTAAAAAAACTTTAGTATGAAAAAAAAAACAGTTAAAAAAAGCATGTAAATTTAAAATAAATTTACAATATTAAAGACACCTTAAAATGATAACTTGACTGTATCATATTTGGTTACAAGTTATCAAATTTTTAATGTATTAACTTAATTATTAGTGATATAACAATCATATATAAAATCAGTTATGTAGTAGTTATATAGTAGTCATGTGAAAATCATGTGATTCAAAATTTAATATAACAAGTGATCAGTCACATGATAAACTGTTAATGATGTATATTAATGAATGATACTTTTTAATAACTGTCACAGTAATAACATTTGGTTTTAAAATCATATACATAATAATGTAACTTAGCTACCTCAGGTTAAGTTAAGCATGACTAAACAGCTGACTGGTCACATGACCAAATCTAAGTCATGTGATGACAGTTTTAAGTGCATATTATGTTAGTTCTGACAGAAATTGTTTTAGTTTGAGTTATTAGACTCATTGCATGTTGTAAATCTGATTAAGGTTTTAATTTGGCATGACCTTTTATCAGAAATCTCAAGTTTTCTTAATTAAAACTATTACTTTCACATTTCCATAATAATAATACTTTACAATATAAGGAAGAATTAAACACGATATTTAAATAAAGATATTTAGTAATGAAACTAAGAAAATAACTTTCAGAATACATAAATTTAATCTTTTGCATAATGTAATGAGTAAATTAGGGTATTTAATGTGAGATATGCAATGTCTACACTATTATTGATTAAAAAGAAGCTGTATGAAGTGAATGGTCGAAAGCTGGAAGTTTTTCAGGTCAGATTCTTTGTTGGCTGGTGTTTTTCCAGTACTACCAACTAAGAGACAAATAATAGTTACCTATGTCACATGACAATGATTCATAATTCTTTTTACCCCTCTTACAATTCCTCCTCAAAAACTAGGCTTCAACCTAGTTTTTTCACGCTCATCAATTCCCAAATTACACTGCCATACAAATTATCAGGGGCCCCGATATATCGCTAGGCGATAAGGTGCGGCTACTACTATAATTAGGATGCTCAAAATAACGTAACCAGACAGATTTTTATAGCCGACTAATGTATCAATTTATACATTTGTTTACAATGAATCGCTTTCGTAGCACCATCATCGTATAATAAAAGTCCAGATTTTGGGGATCGATAATGATTCAGACAGCCATTCCAATCAAATCAAGGCGCAATAGGTACGTACCGCTAAAGATGATAGCTGACGCCGCCCCCATAACTCCAAAGAAGGGTCCGTAGATTGGGTTTTCAGCCATTTTGAACTTGAAATGTGGGAGTATTTACAGGTCCCAAAAACTGTGATGACTATCTGCACACACTCACTCCACAGAACTACTTAGTAGGGACAAATATGGCCAAAGCTTTGCAGACACGATAGAATGGGTCATATGACGATTGATGTCCAAGGCAGTGCTCGATATGACCTAAGTTCTGATTGGTCTTCTTACGTCACTTCCGAAATGCGCAACCAATAGGGAACTTAAAATTTTACAGCGTTATGACGTTCGACATTGATGTGGATCGCTGGCCAGCAATTTTCTTCTGCGCAAGTACTGTTTTATAGTTTTAATACTTTTTAACAATAGAAATTATTAGAGATTGCTTCAGAAACAATAACTTCAAAACAGTCTTAAATAATATATTATATTAAAAAATAATATAACTAACATAATGAGAAAAAAGTGATATTGTTCGTAAAAATAATAATTAAAAAGTAATATGATTCTGTTTCGTGTTGCCAGTATAATAAATTTGTTACAATTAAGTAATTTTAATGCTTTATCCAATATTAATGATAAATGTAACACAAAGAATAATACACAGAGAAAATTCCTATAACATTAAAACTAAAAAATACTAGCTGTATCTGTAGGTTATGTCTGTATTAGTTAAGATTAAATGTTAATTATTGCATCAAAATGTTAAAAATTCAATCTACGTTGATTATTATTACATATATAAAATTATATTATATTCAAGACCCAACTATATCACTATCACACGAAATCGTAATCATTCCATCGCTTTTATTTATTTCTGCTCCCTGTACTGTTATTAAAATCAACCTGTACTGCACTAAATTATATTTATACATTCGCTTATATGTTTTTTATTTTACACACTTGTAGATTATTTCACCACAAATGATACTACCGTAGTAGTAATAACATAGATTTCTCACCAATTTATTCTTTTTTTCTTTCCCACTTCATTGTTAGAGGCTATTGAAATTATCATAAACACGATATCTCTACTATACATTAGCAAAAAATATTTTTATTGCAGATTTTAGGTGATGATGCAGTACTAAATCAAGATAATCAAAGTCTTGCATTGTTGTTTTGATTCGTAGCAATTGCTCACATTCTTTCACTTCCAAGAAAAAGGCAGATATTCTTTAAACGAATACATAAATTTTCTTGTTAAAATTCTTATGGTTAAAATAATGTCATTATTGATATAATTACTATTTGAACAAAAATACTAGAATAAAAGCTGTTTATTCATTTAGGAGTAACAATATCATAGATACACTTGTTGAATTTAATTAATTAAACACCTATAGATCATTATTATGTAATGACAAAATTTTGAATTTTGATGGTGTACTTAAAATTTTGTAAGCACAGTATAAAGAACTACTTTAACTATATTCGGAATTAGAGAAAATGATTTCTTTAAATAGAGTATATTTATCAAATAGTATATCGAGGCTGTTTGTATATAAAAATTGTAAATTCTTCTAACCTCATAAAAGCAAAAATTATCTAAATAACTACCGACTTATTAAAATAATATAATAATTACAACTAAATTATCAATAATTTATATAGTTGTTGATTGTTAATTTTTAGTTAATATTCAGGTGCTCAGTGAAGTAATAGTTCAAATGGTAAAAAGTCAGCGTAGAAGGTACAGGTTCAAGTCCCGTCCGATTAGAATTTTTTCAATCAATAATTATTAAGATATGATTTCCATATTTTAATAGGGTACGCGTAACTGAAATATATTACAACTTGTTTCTAAGACGAATATTTCGATTAATTATTATTTAAATTATTGATTTTCATAATAAATTTTACTAATAACTTAATATATGTATCATAGTAATAATACTTTTTTTTTTAAACAATATAATTAAAAATTATATTAAAAAAGTGTAACTTTTTTATTTTCTTTATTTCCACACCAAATTGAGTACTTAGATAAGTCACGTGGTTTTTATAAACGGCGGGAAAATTAATAGTATTAATTTTTTTGGAAATGTAAAACTTCATAAATGCTTAATAAATTTAGAGCAACTAATGTATGATACAAACAGCTATAAATAAGCTAAAAATACGTATAAATTCATTCAACGTGCAGTAGTTTATAGAATTATATTTAATGCAATTTGTATTACCGGTTATTGATTTAGAGTCCGTAATGATATTCTATCACGTACAGCTTACTATACTTAAATTTCTTGATTCAATGCTTAGCATTGAATCAAGAAATTTAAGTATTCATCTATTGCCGCATTTTCAGCTTATAGCAAAAATACAGAGCATGTTCAGTGTCCATGTCTCCTTGTTTGATTCAAACCTCATTTAACGATTTACTTACTTAGCGATAGCTTAATAAAACTTACCTTTGCCTTTATTTTTTTTATGAAACAAAATATCGTATGTCAATGTCAAAATCGTGATAGATTAATTGTCAAATTGAATGTCATATTCACGTGTTTTTGTGTTTTGAATCCATGCTTCATTTCATAAAATAATTTAAATTATTTAGAAAAACATGTTTGTTTTTCGTTATTAATATTTTATTAAGGCACTGCTGCTTTTTTTATTACAACATGAAGTTTAATTATAAGGTATATACTTTTCAAACTGTGTTTAGAAATGCAACTTTTTTGGTGTTATTTAATTCTTTTAATTTTGATATAATGTATTTGTTTAATTAACAAAAACGGCTATGACTTTTATATTGTAAGAATCGAAATGAGATGTGTACACTGTTCCTCTGTATTCTCTCACCAATTTTCCTATGAGGCATGTAAAGGACCAAATATAACCATGTGCAAAAGTTTTTGTTTTTTCATATACAAAATTATAACTTATGTAGTTATTTATTAAATAATCTATATAGCTTTCATTAGCAACTTTGTTGTGTTGTATATTGATTGATAATAAAAAGAAGCCTATATTCTTCATCTCAAGCCCTATCTGTAATATCTGTGAAGCAAATTTCATGACAATAGGTTTAGTTGTTAAGGTGATAAGAGGTAATAAACGAATTCATTTTCACATTTATAATATTAATAAGAATTAAGAGGCAAGTGATTTTTAGTAATGGGATGTAGTGTCTATATTGCTAACAAAATAGGTAGACCTCTGCACAGTTTTTTGATAAACAATAATCAGAACATTAAGGGTTTCATATTTATGACTTTGTAAGCAGCTGGCTATTTGGCCACAACAGTAAATAGTGTTTTGCCCTTTTGAGGGTAAAGCAGTAAATTGTGGCCATTTTGTGTTACTGTGGCACACACGCAAAGGAAAAAAAAAAGATCTATATCATGTTTATATATTTTTCTGTTATTTTTGTCTTGTTTTTGAGAATGTTTATCTGTGTTTATCATTATTTGTATACTGAAGTAGTATAAATAAATTATATTATTTATCTATCTAAACTCAAAATATAATTAAACTCTATTTAAATTACATTTTTTTTATGTACAGTTTAGCAATTTACTTGGAACTGTGTACAAGAGAGGAGATATAATTTTTACACAAGATGGGAACTGTGTCATCAGTCCTGTGGGTAATAGGATTACTATATACAACCTTAAACAGTAAGTTATTTAATTGATTTTTTTAACTTAATACATTTTATTTACTCTAAATATTGTACATCAACTTGAAATGAATGAATGAAATATTAAAAACTGCTAACCTCAAAACATATGATGGTGCTTCTCAACCATCTTTCACTGAGTGCAACTGACTCCTAGCCTTATAACATAGATATGGCTAAATAGCCATACTTCTTGTCATAACTATGATGTGAATGAAGTTAAATAACTCAATTTATTAGGAATCTTGGGCACAAATAATAATCAAATGACTAGAGTCCCTTCAGCATTTGCTATTTAGTGAAGCTGTAAAAGCTGTGGTCAATAGTATAAGAATAATTTAAAAAATAGCAGGTGGTGGTAGATTTGTAGCCAGTTTAATAAAAAAAATTCTATGATCATAGTATTTTATTTATAGATGTTTATTTATTATATATATAAAATTTTAATAATTTCCAGCAATAAAAGTAATACACTGTCAGTGGAGGGACGCTTCAATTATACAGCTATTGATCTGTCACCCAATGGATCTATGCTGTTAGCAATAAATGAGAGTAAGTAGAAATATAAATAATAACTAGTATAAATAATTATAAATATAAATAATAACTGTAATCACTAATGAGGTGGTTAACAGACATTCCTTTTGGTTCGGTTCAGCGCTGAATGGTGTGGTCACTATTGTTATTATATGCATTTGCTAATTATAGCAAATAATTATTAAAAAAAAAAAAAAAACAATATATGCAGTGGAATGGTTATAGATCTTGTTAGCAAGTCTAGGCTTTTATCTCTTTGGTTTTTAGGGTTTTTAATTATATTATAATTTTTTTATTTCAAGATGGAGCAAACAAATATTTGCATGGATATAATGTGCAATTGAAACTTTAGAAAACTTGAAGTATTTATATTTATAATAATTAATTCTTTTTATTTAAAAAAACGAACAAAGATTGTTTCTCCAGTTGAACTCTTTATATAGTAACTATCCACCTTTCCAAGCAACCTTTAGATTGCTAAAGGTTGCTTGGAAGAGATTACTCTTAGTAATAAGGCCCCCTCATTGTTTTGTTAATGTAATATTTTCTTGGAATTGTTTATATTTATAATAAGTTTACTATTGTAATCTTATAGAGGAAACAATAAAGAGTATCTATCTGTTTATCTTTTGCAGAGGGCGAAGCTCAAATGATCAGTATGCTCACATGTGCAGTTGTACACAGGTACAAGTTTAGGCAGCATGTGAATGCTGTTAAGTTCAGTCCAGATGGGAAGTACTTTGCTGCTTGCTGTGATGATACAGGTAGGTTGTGTTTACAATAGGGCTTTCCTTTGATATCACCAAACATCCAACATAGACATTGCTGCTTGGATGAAATTTATTATTTTTATTTTAAATTATTGTAAAATATTGGCTGTGTTTCGCAGTTTCGCCTGTGTGAATTAGGGCTCAGCTATTTAAGTATTATTCCATGTTAGACATCTAAACATATTATAACAAAAAATTTTTTTTTCTTTACAAACTTGCAGTTTTAATGTCACATATTTATAATATTCTCGATCTATCAGGCAACAGAAAATTGATGAATTTTTGACCATTATTCATGTAGCAGTTGTTTGTCTTTAAATACTTGATTAAAATCGGCAATTTGTTTTGTACTTTCATTTTTAAACATAATTTAATTTACTTGTAATGTTTAAATCAAAGATTTCGTTTAAATATCTTAAACTTTTTTATTGATGAATGCAGTGTAATAAAAAAAAATTACTGCTTTAATATAATATTGTTTATTAAGTTGCACCGTCAATTATATTTTCTGTTATTCCTGTCTACGGTCGACTGGTAGATAACGCCATCTAGAAAGTTTAAATGGCGGACTTAACAATATAGTGTTAAGTCCGCCATTTAAACTTCCTAGATGTATTTAAAGTATAATAAATAAATAAATAATAGTGTTTGTATGTATTTTGTATAGCACGAAAATATTTGTCGAATATATCAGTCTGGAGTAGTTGTAAAGGTCATTCACATAATTTGCGTTATATTATGTAAATAAATAAAATTTCCCTTATTCATTTCAGTATTCATAATGACAGCTCCAAGCTGTTTCACTGGAGAATTCCGCTCGTTTGTCATGAAACGGGTTTTCAAGAAGGCACACGACGAAGTCACATGTCTCGACTGGTCGACATGTTCGAAACTGCTCGCAGTCGGCTCTAAGGATACCACTACAAAAATTTACACTGTAGATTACTTAGACAACCTCAGTATGTACTCACTGGGCGGCCATACGGACAAAGTGGTTGGTGTTTTTTTCGAAAAGAAGAGTTTGGACCTTATAACAGTGAGCAGGAACGGTCAAGTTTGCTTGTGGGAAGCGAACATTGACTCCGATGATCTTGTAACATCAGAAGTACAGATATCTCATAGAAAAAGGAGGAAATTGGCTAAACAAGAAGAGAGCGATGATGATATTGATGAGAAGAATGTTGTAGAAAAAGATAAGGAATATGTTAGTAAATATTTTTGTAATTATTTTTTCTATGGTTTAGCTAATTTCTTATTAGCCATTTGTATTTCTTTGATGACATTATTTAATGTTTTCGGATTAATAACTCTTCAGATTAGGTTGTTACTAGTAAGTCCACTAAGTAGGTTTATAGAATTGAATATAATAGGTACCATGGGCGAAACAGTATACTCTGTTATGTCTATGGTACTGCTCATGTCTATAGGCGACGATTACTACTTTCCATCAGGTGAGCCGTCAGCTTGTTTACCATTCTAAGTTGCAAAAACTAAATATAATATTTTTTAGAATTTGAAAAAAGTGAGAATTTGTTTAAAGATTAAGGTCACTTCTAGTCAAACAATTCTTTGCCAGCTCTCTGAAGGAGTTACTGGTATAAATAAATAAATATAAAGAAATATACTGAACTTTGTAAAATATTTCAAATTATTTAAAATACTATATCATTATCAATATTGTGATTGATTGAACTGATTTTAATAATTCTTTTTGCTGTCTATAGGATTTACTTTCCTATTGATATTATATTTATTTTGCTATGATTGAAGTAACAATTTTTTTTTGCCGTGCAAAATAAAGAAGTCATATTTGTATCTGTGTAGTGTTTTTTATCTCTATGTTATTTTTAATAAAAAAGAAAAACTTTTTCTAGGAAAGTGACGACGAGCAGCAGGATTCAGAAGTGAAAAGTAATAAAAACAATACAGACGAGAAAAAATTGCTATACAAAAAATTGGGTCGACATTACATAGGCGATGCACTAAGGAGTGCCGATTACAAGGTGAAATTAACAGCGGCTCAGTACCATAAGGCTACTAAACTATTGGTCACTGGTAAGGAAGACTTATTATCATTCTATATATTAAAGAGTTTTTTAACGGTTGATAATAGTATGGTAACCCTCTCTGCGTTATCAGTATACACTAGTGGGGCACCAGTGAGGGGTAATAGGTGAGGAAAGCAGGCCAGTTAGTCCATCCTGACGAATTTAACTAGAATTAACCATGATGGTTTCCAGGTGGAGTTTGACCTGATAGGGAGGGTATATTGAAGTAATGGAGCTATTTGACCCCTTTACTAGTAATCCCTTTCCCCCCATTTAAAAGTGTTATATCTATTTAAGTTGTATGGACTCTGCATAGAACAGGCCACCTTTTTCCATAGCTAAACATAGCCCTCCTCCAATAAGGGGGTTTATCCTGTGATTGCCACACTCGGCAGGTGGGTTGGCAATTACAGTTATAATTTTGTGATGTTTTAAGATGGGCCCTGTTCATCCCTCAACCATTATATTCCCTTACTTGCCTCTTACAACACCCACGGAACTTTCACCCACCCACTTTCACTTCAGAATAATAATTGATAGATTGTTTCCTCCAAATGATTACTTTACTTTACTTTACTTTATTCTTTATTGTACACAAAAGGTTATTGAAATGTAAAAACAAACATAATTGTGCACAAGGGCGAGCTTATCTCCAATAGAGATTTCTTCCTTACAGATTACAATTCCTTAGAGATTCCTTAGTGATTACAATAGTAAACTTATTACAAATATTTATTTATTTATTTATTCATTAGTACAAATATGTGTACATGGCGGACTTAATGCTAAAAGCATTCTCTTCCAGTCAACCACAGGGAAGTGTCAGAATACTCAAATGCGGTACTACTAATTATTGATATACATACATACTAAAATTACCTATATAAACGAATAAATATATATGAATAACAAATATACTTACACATATATGATATATACTATATTATACACGAATTTGGGAATAATATAAACAATTACAAGAAATAATAATAATTGATGTTATATAATTAATAAAAACTTTTGTAAAATGTAAATATTTGCATGCCAACATCGCTAATGCAAATAACCAGGTGCCAAAATAGTAGCACATGGCTTTGTAATAATTTTAAGACTATATAAAGCAAATAAACTGATTTCATATAATTTCATAATGTTATGTCATCTTCAGGTTTCTCCAGCGGTATATTCTTTCTTCATGAGATGCCAGACGTTAATCTTATTCACACACTCAGCATATCAGAGCACAGGATCAGCAGTATCTCGATATCCCCGCCAGGAGACTGGATAGCGTTTGGGTGTCCGCACATTGGGCAGCTACTTGTATGGGAATGGCAGAGTATGTTAATTTTAATAATTTTTAGACCCCTGGTGTGTTTTTTTTTAATGTATTTTTTTTTATACAACTTACAATGGCAAACAAGCTGACGGCCCATCTGATGGAAAGTCGTAACCGTCGCCTATAGACACGAGCAGTACCATGGACATAACAGAGCATACTGTTTCGCCCATGATACCCCCCATGCGTTGCCATTCCTGAGGACTCAGGTGTTATTCCTCCGTACCCAGTAAATTCATGCCAAATGTCTAGAACAAAATGTATACCGATCCGATATCTATAGGTTCCTGTGGGCATTGATGTCTGAAAAAAGGTCAAAGGTCGGATATCTATTTTCGAATATGTTTAAAGTCTGTTATTCAATATTAACAGACTTTTAACATATTCGTTATTGGGCTTGTGTTCTGTACATTATTGTAACTAAAATATATAGATATTACTATATATTACTCCTAACACTAATATTCAATTCTCCTGACAGGTGAACAATACGTGATGAAGCAGCAAGGCCACTCCCTAGACATGACCTGTCTCGCTTACTCTCCCGACGGTCTCTACATAGTAACGGGAGGGTACGATGGGAAAGTTAAGGTGTGGAACACTAGTACAGGGTTTTGTTTCGTCACATTCAACGAGCACAAATCGTCCGTGACGAGTATAGTGTTCAGTGCAAACAAGAAGTTCTTCGTGTCCTCGTCGCTAGATGGCACTGTTAGATGTTATGATCTAACTAGGTGCGTATTTTTATAATTATGCAATTTGGATTATGGAATTCGACTTTGAAAAGTGGGAATTTCGGATTAATTTTATATCTCGAAATTGACTTTGGTTCCAATAATTTCGAACCGGAGTTATGACGAAGATCAAAATGCAACTGTACAAGGTTCGACGAGTCGTATTGGCGTATTTAGAGAAATGTTCGGAGGGAGAGACGAAAGGTTCTTGAATGGCGACTCCGTATGGGCAAACGTAGTGTAGTACGACTCCCCCCCACCTAGATGGGGTGACGATCTCAAAACGATACAGGGGGTCATTAGATGCAGCTGGCTTAGGACCATTCTTTATGGCAGTATATGGAAGAGGCTTATAGTCGGCAGTGGACAAATAATTACTGAGATGATGATGATAATGAAGGGGGATGGGGGGGGAGGAGTTGTGAACCTAATCTAAATGTTAGCTCTGATTTGGGTATACTAGGTTGTGACGCTAGATGTACGTCGCCTGGTCATAGCACAGAGTATTCTACTTTGAATACATGTATCTGGGTAGAGACTCTTTTCATTATTATTTAAAAAAAAATTCTTTCATATTTGAAAAAAAAATCTGCGAAGAACTGTTCTTTCGGTCTGAGTCTGCTTGCTTAACTGATAATAAAAACTGATATTGATTGTCGACTCCTCAGGTACCGTAACTTCCGCACGCTGACGGCAGCGACCCTGGTGCAGTTCAGTTGCGCGGCGCTAGATGGCAGCAGCGAGCTGTGCGCCGCCGCCGGCCAGGACGTCTTCGATATCTACCTCTGGTCTATCAAGTTTGGGAAACTACTTGATGTTAGTGTCAAATTCTTAATTGTAGATCTTTGAATAGACTCTTTGTCAAAGAGAGATGATACAAAGTCATGCATACGAATATCTTTATTAAATTTTAGATTTTCGCTTTGAATGGTTTAAATCCAATATAATGATTTTAAGACCATGCAGATTTGATGGATTGTCTAATCTTGCTTTATATTTAATTGAATTTTGTAATAAAGAATATGTAATTATAAATTTAATTTATTATATTAATTATATTGTGACATTTCTATGCATGTAATCTGTAGTCAATGTTGTGTACGCCTGCTATAGGTATGCATATCAGCATGCTGCACAAAAAATGTTATTTAATTTATGTACAATATGTATACTGTTGGTGTGCCTAATTCGAAATAAATAAATAAAGAAATAAGTCTACGTAAATACGTATCCATATTACAAAAAGATTTCGCTTATAGTTTTACGACCGGCCGCGAGGAGGTAGATCTGATAGGGTTTATTGCTAGCAATAGGGTTGCTAATTTCAATTACTAACAATTCCTTCTCACCCTGCAAACAGGTACTAGGCGGTCATGAAGCACCAGTGTCCTGTTTAGCATTCAGCCCGGCGCTAACTAGCTCCCGGCTCGCGTCGGCCAGCTGGGACAAGACCGTCCGGCTGTGGGACTGCATCGAGAGTAGCTCCGACTGCGAGACCATACAGCTCACGTCCGACGCGCTGCAGGTCGCCTTCCGGCCTGACGGTGAAGAGGTATGCGATAAAATAAATTTGATGTAATACCTTAATTTGGTCTAAGATCTTACTATAATAATATAATACCAGATAATATGTAAGAGTAAAATATAAGCTAATAATAGTATACCAGAGGGGAGACTTTGTACAAAAGTTATTTGCTTGGGCATCTCTGTCCCATTCGTGTTTCTACCATGAAGTAGTTGTGTTTGCATGGCTGTGTTTCGGTTCAAAGGGTGAGATATAGCAGTGAATTTACAGGGTATAGAGGAATAACATGTGAGTCCTCAGGAATGGCAACGCATGGGAGGTGTCGTGGGCGAAACAGTATACTCTGTTATGTCCATGGTACTGCTCATGTCTATAGGCGACGGTTACCACTTTCAATCAGGTGGGCCGTCAGCTTGTTTGCTATTCTAAGTTGTATAAAAAAAATTGAATGAATGAATAAATAATTGAAATTATTGTTAAAAATGTGGTACAAGAAAGTGATAATATTACAATAGGTAATATTACAATAGTTGGTTTCACACATTTTGTCATTACTGACATGCAACAGTCATTACAAAAATTATGACAAAATAATTCTTTATAATAAAATTAATTCTATAGCCATATTTATATAATTCAGAAATTTATATCTACTTGTAACAAAATTGAAATTTTTTAAATATATTATTTTCATATTGGAACTAGATGATGTCTATACATGTAAGATTTTATAGCCTTCCCTATAAAGGAAGTTTTGCCAGTAATTGCCACGCTTGGCAGGTGGGTTGGCAAATACAGTCAGGCTTTAGAGATGTTTTAAGAGAGATGCTGTTGCCCATTCCTCACCTTCCATTGATCGCCTCTTACGACATCCACGGAATAGGAAAGGGTGGCCTATTCTATGCCGGGGGCACATGGTACCATGTATATGTTCTAGATCGCGGTGTCGACCCTGGACGGCAATATCAGCTTGTTCAGCACGGCGTCGTGCGAGCAGACGGGTAGTATCGAGGGACGCAACGACCTCGGCGCCGGCCGCGCCGACACTGACCTCGTCACCGCCAACACCAACCTCAAGACTAAGTAAACTAATTACTAGATGTTACACAACGCCATCTACCCACAAACAAGTGGAACTAATAATATTATTAATCCTTCTTAGCATGATTTTTTTTATTGGTAAAACAAATCAAGATGATATAATTCATGTTCAAAATTAAAGGAAAAATGTTAAAAAAATAAATAAATTGACAGCTATGTTTTGTTTTTTGCAATGGACATAAAAAAGGTATCCACACATAAGACACGATCAACTTAAAGTGAACTTGATCTTTTATATAATTTTTGGACATTCAATGTTATGATGGAAATTTCCACCATTATGCAAAGAAGGGTTTTATAATTGCTTGTGTATTTATATGGTATTGATTTCACTGATGTTACAGTTTTTCGTGATTGTCTGATCAGCAAATTATCATATTATGTCAATTTTATATACCTTTTCATTTATATTAATACACGCCCACTATATATATATATATATATATATATATATATATATATATTTATATTTTAATATTATATTCTTTTTTTATATATATATATAAATATTTTTTGTGTTGTTTCTTTATTATAATTCTTAATATATGAATTTTTTTAACCCCTGTGTTGTCGCATATTTCTGTAAAATAAAGTTACTTTCTTTCTTTCTTTCTTTATATATACTTTTTATTATAACAGATTGTGAATTGTTGATCTTTGTCGGGTGCCCACGATACAGGTTCGCCTAGTGTAGGGCCCACTGTATCTTGTGTGTGTAACTTTGTGTTTTTGTCAAATAATAAATTTCTATATCTGTCGGTATATACTGGCGGGGCACCAGTGAATGATGATAGGTGAGGATGAAAACATGTCAGATAACCTATCGTGAAGAATTTTACAAGAATGGAGGTAGATCTGATAGGGTATATTGCTAGCAATGGGGGTGTTTTTTTTTTGGATGGTTGAAAATGGTATGGTAACCCCGCCTGCGCTAACGGGATACGTTGGCGGAGCACCAGTGAAGGGTGATAGATGAGAATGAAAACAGGCCAGTTAGCCCATCATGATGAATTCATCAGGAATTAACCATGATAGTTTCCAGGGAGAACCGCGAGGAGGTTGACCTGTTTGGGTATATTGCTAGCAATGGGATTCTCAGTCTCCATTACTAACAATCCCTTTCCCCCAGCAATGGAGGTGTTAGACTCCCATTACTAACAATCCCTTTCCCCCAAAGCGGTTGGTTATCTCTGGTCGCTTATAATTAATTAAATAGCTTAATGTATCATTATAAAATTTTGTAAATTTGCTTTTGCTTAATAAATAAAAAAAAATTGTTGTACAGGGCATTTACAACTATATGTTACTCCGCTGACGGTACGTGCCTTCTCGGCGGGGGGAACTCCAAGAATATTTGCCTGTATAGCGTAAGGGAAGCGGTGCTGATCAAGAAATTCGTCATCACGCAGAACAGATCCTTAGATGCTGTGAACGTGAGTAATTATTATTTTATTTATACAACTTAGAATGGCAAACAAGCTGACGGCCCACCTGATGGAAAGTGGTACCGTCGTCTATAGACATGAGCATTGTTGACGCTATTTTGGTATTTTATATTTATATACAATGAATGTCATTGTATTTTTCTTGTACATTCATTTTTCTAGGGGTGCATATTGGTATCCTGTGAAACATGTGTAGTCGATTTAAATAAATAAGTAAATAATATGATTACAGGACTTCATCAACCGCCGGTTTCTGACAGAGTTCGGCAACATGGCGCTCATAGAGGAGAGGACGGAGCTGGAGGGTGGGGATGTGGCCATCCGCCTGCCCGGCGTCAGGGATGGTGATATGGCTGACAGGAGGGTTAAACCAGAGGTGAGATGTTTTTGCAACTTAGAATGGCAAACAGGCCGACCGTTAGGTGGCCACCTAATGGAAAGTGGTAATCGTCGCCTGTAGGCGTGAATTCCATGTCCGATACACCACAGAGTATACTGTGACGCCCACGATTGCTATGAGAACGGTTATGGGGCGCTGTTCTCTGTTCTAATAGCTAATAAATAAGGCTGTGTTTTACAAAAAAAAAACTGACTTCAGTTGTAGCAAATTTTGATTTAAAAATTAACCTACTGACTCGGTTTTGATAAAATTTCTACGGGACCAATATGTATGTATGTATGTGTATGTATGTATGTACGTGTATGTATGTATGTGTATGTATATGTAAATATATCCTTTCAGATAAAAATAAAGAATTTTCCAAATCGGTTTGCAACTGACGTAGTTATGAGGTAATAAACAAAATGAGAAATATTAACGAATTGAGTACCTCCTTCTTTTTTTGAAGTTGGTTAAAAATGTTTATAGTCTATTTGTTTTTCTGTGATTTTTTGATTCAGGTAAGAGTACACTGCGTACGTTTCTCGCCGACCGGTGAGAGCTTCGCCGTCGCAGCCACCGAGGGGCTTTTAGTTTACAGTCAGAATGCAGGCATCGATGGCACATTCAGGTCAGTTCATACTTATTATGATCATTATTGGGTATCAGCGTCATCATATTAGCCCTTAATTGTCCACTGCTGGACATAAGCATCCCCCTAGTAGGGGTTTGCCAGTAGTTGCCGCGTTTGGCAGGCGGATTGGCAACCTCAATTAAACTTTAAAGATTTTTAAGAGGATGCTGCTGCCCATTCCTCGGCCTCTTACGACACTTACGGGAAAGGAAGGGGTGGTCCGTTCTATGCCGGGGTACCCAGGGGTCTATTGGGTATGGTAGCATAGAATTGACGTAAGTATGGATGCACTAGGTTGAGTAGCATTTAAGAAAATATATTAAGTATGAATTGGCTATAAGAGTAAGGGAAGACCTGAAAAGGTACTTACCTTATTTTTTTTTATTGGGTGAAAATGGTATGGTAACCCCGCCTGCGCTAACGGGATACGCTGGCGGAGCACCAGTGAAGGGTGATAGATGAGAATGAAAACAGGCCAGTTAGCCTATCATGATGAATTCATCAGGAATTAACCATGATAGTTTCCAGGGAGAACCGCGAGGAGGTCGACCTGGTTGGGTATATTGCTAGCAATGGGATTCTCAGTCTCCATTACTAACAATCCCTTTCCCCTCTGTACCTACCTTACACGTAATCCTGGAATGTGAGGCTGTGGCCCATCAACGTTTAGATCCTCGGAACGGTAAGGTCGCTCCGTGAGGCCTGTGAAGAACCCAGGAAGCTTCTGCGCTTCTGGGCGGAGCTAGGTTGGCTGCACTAGCCACGACTCATACGCACAACGGCCCAAATGAGAGGCTAAGCGCGGAAAATAGAGTTCTATTTACATTCACACATATACCAGATAAAAACCGTAAGCTTGTTTTTTTTTTGTTTCATATATACAGGCCGTATCGTTTGGATTCCGGCTCCACTCCTCAGACGGTAAGACAGCACCTGAAGGACAGATCCTGGGGGCACGCATTGCTCGGCGCCATACAACTGAACGAACTCACCATCATACAAGAATGCGTCGAATCGGTACCGCCTTCTGACAGTAAGTACTCATTATTTGGTATTTTAGGTATCTGTCTCTCTTTTCAGCTCTGACTTAATCTACATATACTCTCTTTTCTTTATAATATCCTGCATAATCCCGTTGCACCAACATATCTTTGTGAGCGGTTTAACTTTCTGTATTCAGCGAAAAGCAATACTAGGACTCTTAATCGTTCTTTATTGCGAACTCCGATTTATTCTGGTCAAGCGTATTCAGATTCTTTTGTTGTGGCTGCAATTAGACTATGGAACACATTTCCTCATGAAATTAGAAATAGCCCAAGCATTGGGATTTTCAAATCACGTCTGAAGAATTATTACCTCTCACAATGCTGATGTACGTACTTATTATATTTGTGTATTATATATAGTATACATATATTTATCTATTTATATGTATTTACTTTTATATATTTTTATTTATTTATTTTTAACTATAACATTTAAGTCGATTGGTACACATGTTATGACTGTAACTACTAATGAACTGTCACTTTTCTCATATTGGGTTTGCTGGAAGAAATCTCTATTGGAGATAAGCTCGCCTTTGTGCACTATTATGTTTGTTTTTACATTTCAATAACTTTTGTGTACAATAAAGAATAAAGAATAGATAGATAGATAATTTATTTGCATAGCATACAAAACCCACAGTAAAAAAAAAAACACAAAAAGTAATTTATACGAAACAACAATTTATAGTTTTCAAGGTTAAAAATTTTATCTTCCAATAAACAGGAGGAAGTTCTCAGTTCATCCAATTATATACTTGATATAGTATTGATTAAAATATATATTTATAATGCACCACCTACTTATTTCTCTGTTTGTCCAATGGTTGATTGGCAGAGAACACTGTCTAGAGTTAAGTCCACTAAACATACATAAATGTATGTGCACTTGCGTTACAGTTTAAATAAAATGTATTGACCGGCCATAACAAATGATCTATTTGATGAATCATTTTGAATACTTTTTTTTTCTTTAATTGGGCATTATCATCTTCCTACCCTTATCCCAATCATTTGGGGTCGGCGTAATATGATTTTATCCATATTACAAAAAGATTTGGTTTTTAGTTTTACGACCGGCCACCTGCCTGACTCTCTTTGGGAATTATAATAATAATAATTGGGCATTATAATAATAAAAAATAACATAAATATAACAAATAAAAAATACTATTTTTTTTTATTATATATTTAAAACTTTTTAACTTAAAGTTACTAAAAATTATCTCTTTATTTAACTTTTTTTTTCTGTAATTCATTAAAGTTATTACTTTTGTGAAACAAAATCTTAAATTTTTTAATAATTAAATGATAATTACATATATCTGATAGATGTCGCTCACTGAATTTAGAAATAGACCAATAAATTTTTTATTTATTTATGTATTAATGTTATATTATTATTCATTTACTTTTATTATTTACATATGTAGGTATATAGAGCTGTTTTTATTGTGTTATATGTTAAATTTTTTTTTACTGTGTATTATTTAGTTTATCTTTAATTGTCCGGTTATTACCCTTGTACATTCTACAGTTTTCTTTCAGCTTCTCAAAGGTTGACTGTAAGAGATACCTTTATGGGATAAGTCCGCCATTGTATATTAAATCATTTACCAGTGTTTAATCTGAGTTATGTACAATAATAATTTTACAATACAATATAATAAATTATATACTATTTATTTCAGTCGAACTAACCGTTACGAGTTTAGAAGAGGATTACGTCAGTCGCCTTCTGAATTCACTGGCGCGGCTTCTAGAAGACAGCCGACACTTAGAGCATTTACTTCTATGGGTGAAGGCGGCGATCTCAGGCAAGAGGAAGGTGCCTCCGAACGTACTTCTGGCGCTGGAGAAAGTACTTACCGTGAAGTACTCGCAATTGAGCAAAATGTAAGTTGAATGTTGTTTGAAAAATTTTATTTTTACTACATTTCGCCCGCTGCTTTTCTTGCGTGTGGTATTCCAGAGGAGTTAAATTTTCAAGAATGCTGAAAAGTATTTTATTTATTTCTAATCAGAAGTCGTAAAACTAAATTTTCGTATTTATTATTACAGAGCTCCCATACAAATATTCATCCCTTATTTCAACCCCTTAGGGGCCCTAATATCTGACAAAATTCCACACAAACTTTCAGTCCCCATTTTTTAACCTCTTACGGTTCGAGTTTACAAAATATCTCACTTATTATTTTAAATACATAATCGGGACTTAACACGATGTAAGTCTTTACAGGTAAATAGTACCTATATACCTGCTTGTTTATTGCCGACGTTTCGACGTGGATTGCACTACGTCGTTTATATTATATATTTCAATTTATATATTATATAATTATAAATATATAGAATTATATATATTTCGAGTAAAATTACAATATTAATACATACATATAAATATATATGTTAAATACAACATATAAATATCAAATAAAAGAGAACACAATGATGACAGTCTTCTAATCATTATATATATATATATATATATATATATATATATATATATATATATATATATAGTTCAGCCATAAGTCCTGTTAAAAATGTAGTGTATGTAGAAATGTAATATTACTAAAACTTATACCTAAATACTTATTGAAATCTCAGCAAAAAACAAACAAAAAAATATTCTATTCGAAATAGCCACTTTTGGGCTTTTATACAGGCCTTTAATCTGTTTGGCCACGAATCTATGGATTTACGCGCTGTCTTCAAGGAAAATTTCGCCACTGCTTGCTCCAGAGATTTTTTAAGAGGCTCAATGTTGCCGTGTCGTTTAGAGCAAGCCATGTTCTCTAAAACTGACCATAATTTGATGTCTAAAGGGTTGAGGTCTGGGCGAGATGAGGGCTAGTCTTCAGCTTATTTTATGTCATTTTTTGTCATTTGTAAATTAGTTTATTTATCTCCACAAAATACATTAAATGCACAGATTATTTACTCTATACAAAATATAAGTATCGTAATAATATTTGCTACGTTTGGCAAACGGATTGGCAACCTTAGAAATCAATCGTGCAGGAAAAGTCACGCGTTAGTTCTAGTTATTTGAACCTGTTCAAAAAGAGAGGGAGATTTGTACAAAAGTCGATTGCTTGGGTACCTCTGCCCCATTCGTGTTTCTACCGTGAAGCAGTTGTGTTTGCATGGCTGTGTTTCGGTTTGAAGGGTGGGATATGGCGTGAAATTACTGGGTACAGAGGAATAACACCTGAGTCCTCAGGAATGTCCTCATGAAGTCCGCATGGGGGAGTATCATGGGCGAAACAGTATACTCTGTTATGTCCATGGTACTGCTCATGTCTATAGGCGACGGTTACCAATTTCCGTCAGGTGGGCCGTCAGCTTGTTTGCTATTCTAAGTTGTATAAAAAAAAACCATTCAAATGACATCACAATATGTCATGACTGAAATTATTACAAAACGTGTCATTGTAACATCAAAAATGCGGTGTGCCGCGTTACCTGAGTAGTTATCATGATTGATTGTCGGCCGGGACCATTGATAAGGCGATATCAACGTAGTGATATAATATAAATAAGGTCAAGAGTAGCAAATCATGTTTCTATGTACATTAAAATTTTAAACGCTATCCATAGTGGAAAACGCTGATTTTATATTTATATTTGTTTACTGGCCGTTTCCTGTGGTGTTGCCCGCTTCTATGTAGTTCCCTTATATCATTCCCATTGGAATTCTTCATGTATCCAGTTTTATATTGTATACTTATATACTTAAATGGTTTTTTTTATACAACTTAGAATGACAAACAAGCTGATGGTCCACTTGATGGAAAGTGATAACCGTCGCCTATAGACATGAGCAGTACCATGGACATAACAGAGTATACTGTTTCGCCCATGATACCCCCCATGCGTTGCCATACCTGAGGACTCAGGTGTTATTCTTCTGTACCCAGTAAATTCACGCCATATCCCACCCTTCAAACCGAAACACAGCCATGCAAACACAACTGCTTCACGGTAGAAACACGAATGGGATAAAGGTACCCAAGCAATAGATTTTTGTACGTATCTAATCAATCAATCATCATCAATATCAATATATATAATAAAATCGTAACTGCTCGCTGTCTTTACCTATGTACAGACACTCTATATATCCTGAGGAGATAAAAAACATCGCTACAAAAAACATTTTTAAATTCCTACCATTGATAGGAATTAGCTGCGACCTTTAAAAAAGGTCGAGCACAGAAGATCACGGATAGATCGTAGTGTCACAAGTTTTTCTGTCTGAAAAAGGCCGTTTCTCAATAATAATAATATGACTAGTTTACTATTTAGTACGTTAGAATATATTTTTCTCAAACATGCTTGGAAATGTGAGCATTTTTTTGACAATCTTCTTCGAGATAAATCAAAATTGCCGTACTGGCCAGATACATGCGGGCGGCGGCCGGCAAAAGTTGTATGAAAATCCATATCTGTTGTGTTTTGCGGCCAGATAAATTACTGTGTAAACTCATATCTGTCCTGTAATTTAAAAACGGAATGACCTTTTACTTCGAAACATGGCTACCAAGGACGTAACTAATAAAAGGTTTTATTTAAATTTCGAATTAGCTTGCAAATATATGGTGCGTAAAAAATTATTATTGTTCGTTATTCGTCGTTGAACTTAAAAAGTAAAATTGTGTTTTTGATTTCCGCGCATTGTTTGAGAAAAGTACTATACAAGCCTTGGCCTTGATGGACTCACGTATGTGTGCCTCGGCTACGTTTCGGCCCACATTTGCACGTTCGTCCATCAACGCTTCAGTTGCTGGCCGCTGCAGTAATCTACTATTAATTATGTTTTTTCTTACAGATGTGATTTCAACAAATACACGATTCGGTGTATAAAGACAGTGGGCGAGATGATTCCTAAACGTGAAGAGGAGGCGATGGACACCAGCGACAACGAGTCCAGTGGACGAGGGACGTTTTCGGATACTGATTAATTATAAATAACCTGTTTTATTATTATTATTATTTTTTATAATAAAATGTTTATTTGAAATTCATTTGTGCTATTTTTCCTTTCGATCTTTATGTGTACGAGATATTCTCGTACGTGTGAACTTTAGAAAACGTATCAATATAAAACGTAGGCTTAAGAAAAATAGGTAAAAGTAAATGCTAAAGTTATGAATTCATTCATATCAACAATAGTAGCTTTTTTTTTTATACAACTTAGAATGGCAAGCAAGCTGACGGCCCACCTGATGGAAAGTGGTAACCGTCGCCTATAGACATGAGCAGTACCATGGACGTAACAGAGTGTTCTGTTTCGCCCATGATACCCCCCTTACCATTCCTACGTTGCGTTACCATTCCTGAGGACTCAGATGTTATTCCTCTGTACCCAGTAAATTCACGCGATTCACTGTTCATCCAAAAAGGTTGACTGGTAGAGAATTCTAATAGCATTATGTCCGCTTTTTGTATCATATTTTCTTTTGGTCAATAAAGTTATTAATATAAATAAATAAATAAAAATTTTTAAGTTAGTTCTTCAGGAATACGATTGTAAAACAAAACCGTATCAAATTTGATGCAGTAGTTTTTGAGTGATATTGGAACAAACATACAAACAGACAACATTTCTAAAAAAATTATGTTTTAGCATTTGTTGACCTTATTATAACTTTTCATATAAATTCTTCTTAAATATCTTTCATGGATGCGTTGTCAGGTTGACCTCCACGCGATTCCTTTGGAAACCATCAAAATTCTCCACGAATTCAGGACGATGGCTCAACTGACTTGCTTTTATCCTCACCTATCATCCTTCACTGGAGCCCCGCCAGCGTATACCGTTAGCGCAGGCGTGATTACCTTTACATTATCATCCATAAAAAACTTAAATACGCTCATGAGCACAAACGGGGTCGACCTCCACGCGGTCCCCCCTGAAAACCATCGTGTCGAATTCCAGGTGTATTCATCACGATGGGTTAATTGACCTGCATTTTCATTCTCACCTATCATCCCTCACTGGTGCCCCGGCAACGTATACCGTTTTTTTTTTACAACGCAGGGGGCAAACGAGCATGCGGCTCACCTGATGGTAAGTGACTACCGCCGCCCATGATCCCAGGAGGGTTACCTTTACATTATCCTTCATAAAAAAAACTCTTAAATACGCTCACGAGCGTAAGCGGGATCGACCTCTACGCGGTCCTCCCTGAAAACTATCATTGTTAATTCCTGATGAATTCATCATAATGGAGTAACTGGCCTGTTTTCATTCTCATCTATCATCCTTCACTGGTGCCCCGCCAGCGTATACCGTTATCACAGGCGTGATTACGTTTACATTATTATCCATAAAAAAAAAAACTTAAATACACTTATGAGTACAGGCAGGGTATCATTCCATTATAATTCCATACTTGTTAAACAATATGACATAAGCCATATGCCATAAGCCCACGAACACTCAGGTCGTGGAATGAACTCCCTGCCGAGGATTTCCAAGAGACTACAGCATGGGACTCTTCAAAAGGTAAAGAGGTTTCTTCAGGGTTGGCAACGCACGCGTAATGCCTCTGGTATTGCAGGTGTTCATAGGCTACGGTAACCACTTACTATCAGGTGGGCCGTATGCTTGTTTGCCACCTCAGTGGTATAAACAAAAAGAAAAGGTAGTGGAAACAATAGTACAATTAATCTATCCTTTATTGAGATCAATTCCATTAACATTGGTTGGTCGCAGTACAAACACGGAGTTCCTTCCAGACCATCCGGGCAGTGTGGCCCGAACTACAACTATGGTGCTCACCACCGCCGCGATAATTGCTAGTGCTAGTATCACCCACCGAGCCGTGTTGGCGTATCCGATCAGTTTTAGGTTTTGTTGTAGCTCCTCTTGTATAGAGGGCGGCACTTCCGCGCTCTACAAAAAAAAAAAAAAAAAAAGATAAAATTAAGCATCTTCTAAAGGTTTTTTTTTTATGGGTGAAAATGGTATGGTAACCCCGTCTGCGCTAACGGGATACGCTGGCGGGGCACCAGTGAAGGGTGATAGATGAGAATGAAAACAGGTCAGTTAGCCCATCATGATGAATTCATCAGAAATTAACCATGATAGTTTCCAGGGAGAACCGCGAGGAGGTCGACCTGGTTGGGTACCTGATGGAAAATGGTAACCTACAGACATGAGCAGTATGAAGCAGGAATGGCAACGCATGGGGCGTTGCCATTCTTAAGGACTTAGGTGTTATTTCTTTGTACCTTGTATCACTGTCATATCCCACCTTTTGAACCGAAACACAGCCATGCAAACACAACTGCTTCACGGTTGAGACACGAATGGGACAGAGGTACACAAGCAAACGACTTTTGTACAAAGTCTCCCTCTGGTTATCTTATTCCATGGTCGCTATTGCTGTTTTTTTTGTGGTGCTAAATTTTATGTCACCTCCTTAGTTATAAAAACTAGTTCTAAAATCTGCAAATCTATTTTAACTATTACACTGTTTTGTCACTTTCATTCTAACTGAGAATTTAGTATAAAAGAAAGAGACAAAACAGTTCAATAGTAAGAATGATTTTGTAATATCGTGATCGTGTAATATCCTGCATAGTAGATAGAAAGCTTGAAAGTCGATATTTATAATTTTTGTAATGGGTGAGTGTTTGAAATAGGACTTTTTTTTAAAGGAAGACATTGCTCCCGATTTTGACACGCGGTTTCTCTATCTCTAAAATTTAACCCTTCTTTGCATGATTTTTTTTTATTGGTGAAATAAAGCAAGGTGATATAATTAATGTTCAAAAATAAAGGAAGAATGGTTAAAAAAATAAATTTGACAGCTATGGTTTTTTTTTATGCAATGAACATTAAAATGTATCCAGACAAGATCAACTTAAAGTGAAATTGTTCTCTTATATAATTTTTGAGCATTGAATGTTATGATGGAAATTTCCACCATTATGCAAAGAAGGGTTAAATTTCGAATTGATGTCACTGCAAAATCTTTATTGTACCTAGGGGCCAATATGAACTAATTTTTTAATAAACTTATGCCAACATTATTCTAAATTTAGTATACAATGGTCCGTAAAATAGTTATTTCGCGAAATATTATGTTTAGAGATACGTTTAAGGAACGGCCCGTTTGAATTAAATCCATTCTCAATTCTATAATTGAGAACTGAGAATGTACATACGGTATCTATGTACTGTATTTTCTTAGAAATGAATTTAAAAAAGGAAATATTCCCAGTTTGTCAGTGTTGTCCCATAACATATTTTAAAAAGTACAAGGGGATTCTCTATTCGACTGTTGGTAAATTTTCACGCGATGTCTATGCCCATTGTGAATTAATTATAAGGGATTCTTTTTTCTATTGACAGCGTTTGCTTCCATGTTGATAACATATTAATTTTGTAAAATTTGAAGTAAAATTTATTATGGTTTAAATGTTATTTACCTCCTCTATCCAGAGCATTGGGAACAGGCCCGTGGGTACTTTCATCAGCTGCGGTATCTTCATCTGCCTCAGTTCCACGTTGAATTGCAAACGCTGTACACCTTTCAGGACTGCGCCTGTGTTCTATAATGACATATAATGTAAATAAATACACTTGGATACAGCGCCATCTAGAAGCAAATTAAGAAGAACTTGCATGGATACTGGGCAACAGACGGAATTTTTTTTTTTCATAAATATATACATATTATATAGAAAATACTATTTTATATTCAAAATAGATGAATGCAAACAGGCATACTAATTAAATGTTTCGTGTGGGAATCGAACCCGCGTTCATTAGAAGATAAGACGGCAGATTAAACCACTACACCAAGACGGTTAATATAGCTTGGTATATTGTAAAATAAATCCTTCTCGCCTTCCCTTTCAGATTTATCCATAAATATCGTGCCCTCATCGCCCTTGTTAGATTTATGTACCCGAGAGAAACATGTGTTCCTTTGTTTTCTTTTTTTGTTTGTTTATTTAACTTTCTACCACATTAATCTTAATAATATAGATAGATACATTATACTCTTTATTTTCATCAAGAGATACACAAAAAACTGTGACAATAACAATAAAAAAAAACTTTTTTTTTATTGTTGTTGTTTTTTTCACGGCTTGGCAACAGCTCGTCTTTTTTTTTTAAATCATCAGGTCAGCCCACCTGATGGTAAGTGACCACCGACGTCCATGTTCACCTACAACACTAGAGTCACTGCAGATATGTTACTGGCCTTTTAAATAGGAATATGCTCTTTTCTTAAAGGTTATGACGTCGTACCGGTTCGGAAATATTGCTGTTGGAAGTTGATTCTAAAGAGTGGTTGTGCGGGGAAGAAAGTATCTTGAAAAACGCACGGTGGAGGACCGCCACTCGTCCAGATGATTGGGATGGAACTTTAGTTTGTCAATCCCAAAAATTCTTCAGAGCACTCTCTATTATAAATTTGGTAGAAGATGCATAGAGATGCAACATCTGTATGCAGTTTCAGTGAGTCGAGCCCGATAGTAAGGCTGTTCATTAATAATTCGAGCCGCCCGACTTTGAATGCGGTCTAAGGGAAGGAGTTGGTACTGTGGCGCTCCTGCCCATAAGTGAGAACAGTATTCCATATGTGGCCTGATTTGAGCTTTATACAATTTCAAGCGGTGTTCCGGCGTAAAATACCGTCGCACTCTATTGGTAGTGCCTTGAAAGTAAGTCGACATGACAAACGGCATCTTTTTCATCTGATGGTAAACAGTCACTGTATTTCATAGAGGACGCCTGTAAAACTAGGAGTGTCACATGCGTGTTGCTGAGCCAGAAGAAACCTTAATACACCCTTTTGAAGAATTCCATACTAAAGTCTCTAGGGAAACCTCATCTATTACCAAATAGATGATTGAAAACTTACCGGTTCTAACATTATATAGCTCTTGTGTTTTTCTTTATCGGGTTTGATGCCTCCATCGAAGAATTCGAGCAGTTCCTCTGAGGCTAGGTAGAAGTGTGGCAGAGACGCTATAGCAGGAGCCTGCTGACAGGGGAAGAGGTTCATCACGCCCATCAGAAGGCACCCATCGTGGTTGCCGCTCCAATTCCTGGTTAAATTATTTATTACAAATGTTCAGTTGATTAGAATTATTTTGTTTAATTCCGTTACTATTAGTACGCAGGTAACTGTCAGCATTTGAGGATTGTCTACTGTTATTATTGGTACAAGTTCTACGACCTACCCTCTTTATCATCAATCAATCATTATTCAGTCTATGCCCAACGGAATTAATGTTCTGTACGTTTGTTTGTAATAGATAAACTTAAAAACTACTTTACCGATTTTAAAAATTCTTTCACTTTCAGCAAACTACATTATTATTGGCTTGCCATGTGGTCCCAGCATAGAATAGGCTACTTCTTCTTTTCCCGTGGGTATAGTAAGAGGTGACTAAGAGCACTTAATGGTCGAGGGATGGGCAGCAGCGTCTTTAAATATCACTAAAGCCCAACTGCGATTGCCGGGGAGAAAGGGATTGTTAGTAATGAAGACTGAGAATCCCATGGCCTGTTTTCATTCTCATCTATCACCCTTCACTGGTGCTCCGCCAGCGTATCCCGTTAGCGCAGGCGGGGTTACCATACCATTTTCACCCATCAAAAAAAAAACTGCGATTGCCTACTCGCCTGCCAAAGGGACACTACTGATAAAGCCCTCCTTATGAGGAAGATCAGTGTTTAACAGTGTACAGTTAATGGCTGATACGATGATGAACTTAGGCTATTCTTTAAAAAAAAAACTTAGCAAACTGGGACGAATCATTAGTATGGGAATAAATTCATATAAGGCCGTGATGTATATAAGGTTTTCTTTTTTAATTCGAATTTCTTAATTTATTGTACGAATGTGGATACAAATATTAGATGGAAACATTTTTTACAAGTCCATTATTTCACATTTCATTTCTTTGTGACTTTATACTATAAATCAATACTTACTTTTTACAATAGCATTTGTTGTCGGGATTAGCACTTTTAGACGCGAAAGCTGACTCCGAGAGCTCATAGTAGTATGCAGACATGTTGAAAATATTGGTTTTGCTCATGAAGTCTACGTAAATAGATCTGTAATAACAAACATCTTAGATAATAAGCAGTATATGAGATGGTATGAGCCAGCAAGTTTGAAGAATTCGTGCTAATTGGCCAATTGATCTAATTTCGTCCCTGGTAATTTTTCCCTCACTGGTGCCTCGTCAACGTATACCAATTGCGCAGGTGAGGATACCATTATATTTGTCTCATTAAAAATATATTTATTTAAATAACTTTATTGAACAAAGTAAAATAAGTTACAAAAGGCAGACTTAATGCTAGTCTAGTAGCATTCTCTACCAGTTAACTCTTGTGTGAATCAGTGTAACAGTGAATCACGAACACGGTACTTCATTATTGGGATAGGTAAAGAGAATAACAAGTAATAATGTATAGCAATACACAATAAGTAATATATATATATATATATATATATATATATATATATATATATATATATATATATATATATATATATATATATATATATATATATATATATATATCTCTATTCAAAGGTTGCCAGAAAATATCGCTCTTAGCGATAAGACCGCCCATCATAATTATTCCTCTCCATCTAAAGGTTGCCTAGAAGAGATCGCATTTAGCGATAAAGCCGTCCATTGTTATCACACTGTGATCAGTGATGAGTTCTCTATTTTAATCTCTTGGGGGAGACAATAAAAGAGTATATATCTATCTATTATCCCCTTTGATGATGATGATTAGAACATACCTGCATATGTCAGGTTGGAATGTATACAATCTCTTCGGGACATTGTTCTCATCTATCGGCGGGTATATCGACGAGTCTGAACCGTTGAGTTGTCCACAGTAAGGGTCAGAACCCCAGTTGTTCATGAATGTCTTTTCCTTATAGGACACGATGTGACCTAGTTCCTTCACGTTCTCTATGCCTCGCACCATGCTGTAAGGGCCTGACGCTGTTCTGTTTAACTGAAACATGAATAAGATTTTCTATGTTTGTCACAATTACTAGAGGATATTTTTTTATGGGTGACAATGAAATGGTAACCACGCTTGCGCTATCGGTATACGCTGGCGGGGCACGATTGAAAGATGATAGGCAAGGGTGAAAGCAAGTGATGAGTTTAACAATAATTAAATACGATAGTTTTCAGGGAGAACGGCGTGGAGGTCGATTTGATGGGGTATGCTGCTAGCAATGGGGTTATTAGACGCCATTCCTAACAATTCCTTTCCTCCCTTAGTGGAAGATTAGTCGTGCATCACTCGTGCATCTGTCGTCAAGCACCTATGCCTGCACGATTGTGTCAGTGAAGTAGTACAGAAGTAGCGAGCTAAAGTAGACAGAGAGAGTTACCAGACGGGGTCTTTATGCTAAAGTCTGCTTGGGTACCTTAGTCCCATTCGTGTTGTCGCCGTGAAGCAGTTGTGTTTGCATGGCTGTGTTTCGGTTTAAAGGGCAGGATATGGCAGTGAAATTATAGGGTACAGAGGCATAACACTTCAGTCCTGAGGTTTGACAACGCATTTTTTATACTATTTATGCAGCTTGAACTGATAAACAAACTGACGGCCCATCTGATGGAAAAAGGTAACCTTCGCTTGTAGACATGCGTTGTCATTTCTGAGAACTAAGGTGTTATGCCTCCATACCCTGTAATGTCATTAAATGAAGGGTATCAAGAGCGACACAGTATACCTTGTTATGTCCACGGTACTGTTCCTGCCTATAAGTGACGATTATCACTTTGCATCAGGTTGACCTTCACCTTGTTTGCCATTCTAACTTGTATGAAAAATAAATAAAAAGCTAGTTTGAACTAATAATATGTATAAAGGCTTACTTGACTTGATTTTTTGTATGTTTTTTTTATCTATTACAAACAAACATACAAAATATGTTTGTTTGTGATAAATATACTCAAAAACATTTTAACCATATTTTAAAATTCTTTCACTTATAGAAAACTTTACAATTAAGGAGTAATATGGGCTATATTTCACTCATAAAAAAAACCGTACGATGTCGGGTTTTATCGCTTGTTACGATTAAAATGAGCGTGAATATGTTATTTTTTTTTTGACAATGGCATCCCTATTGCAATGAAAATTTAGTTTTTTTTGCTGTTATGGTAATTATGATAGGTAAAATGTAGATATAAAAAATCTTACGTGCGAAAACATGGAGAAATAGAATCCGCTCCCATCTTCTGTGGGGCGCATCGTGGGTGGACTAGTGGTACTGATTTGGGAACATATAAGGGCTGAAATAAAATAGTTTATAAGTTTTTTTCAAAAAAACCCTGAGTCCATGGAGCAACCCTAACCTGAACCTTTCAAAGGTTCATGCTAGGGTTGCTATTTACGTTAATGTATGTATCATTTAAAAATAAGTTACTTCCGATAAGCCACGTCATTTGTGCAGTTTAGAAATTTTTAACACCAGAGGTCGCAACACTCGCACGGGTATTAGTAGAAGTAATCATAAAGTGAATTACCTAAAGAGGAATGATTCCCTCTGCAATTGAGGAACAATCCATCGAAGAATAGATCTCGTGCCTTGACAGTTATGAAAGGGTCATCCAACCCATATTGCGAGTACATCTCTTGAAATCCCATGTTCAGGGTTGAAACTAATGCCGGCATCATATCGTTAATTGTTATTAAGGCCGCCTGAAAAAAAAATATTTTTATTTATTGCACTAAAACACACAGTGGCATAGGAAGTAGTAAGTGGGCAATAGTAGTGCAAAACAGAAGTTATATATATATATATATATATATATATATATATATATATATATATATTATTGTCGAACATAGGACTCCGCTGCCCATCCCTCAAACATTATATTTCCTTAGTCACCTTCTATATATATATATATATATATATATATATATATATATATATATATATATATATAGACTAGTACATCTTCGCTTTGTAAAAAATCAGCGACTTAATATATATACATGTATCATTAAATCAGCCTTTAACTGTCCACTGCTGAACATAAGCCTCCCTCTTTGAGGGGTTTTGCCTGTAGTTGCCACGCTTGGCAGACGGATAATTCTTTTGTTTCAGTGACAGCTTTATCAGAATATTATTGCATGACATTTTAGTTCGCATACGAAGCACTTTTTAAATAAATAATCAATTATTAATATTGAAAATTATTCAATTGCTATTGAAAATTGACAGATAACTGCAACGTCGATGCACTTGGTCAAGCTTATTATGAACGTTCGTACTTGATGGAAAAATGATTGTTTCAATTGTGACAAAATTAATATGAGAATAAGTGTAAATGGAATCCATTAAAAAAATAAACCGACTTCGATTTTTTTTATGCAACTTAGAATGGCAAACAAGCTGACGGTTCACCTGATGGAAAGTGGTAACCGTCGCCTATAGACATAAGCAGTACCATGGACATAACAGAGTATACTGTTTCGCCCATGATACTCCCCCATGCGTTGCTATTCCTGAGGAGTCAGGTGTTATTCCTCTATACCTTGTAAATTTACTGCTATGTCCCACCCTTCAAACTGAAACACAACCACGCAAACACAACTGCTTCAGGGTAGAAACACGAAAGAGACAGAGGTGTCGAAGCAAACGACTTTTGTGCAAAGTCTCCCTCTGGTAATTGTAGAAAAAACCAGTTTGTTTGATTTAAAAATTAAACTACTTAAATAAATGTGATAAAATTCCTATAAGACCAATCTGTTTTATCTCTTCAAATAACAAAACAATCCAAAACGGTTTATAACTTACGGAGTTATGAGGTAACAAAAAAAAATACAACCCGAAATGATAATTGAATTGATTAATCCTTGTTAAAGTCGGTTCAAAATAGATTACAAACTGCCTTTATTTACTATAATATTAATTTTTAATTTTGTACCTACTCAGTTTTCATGTGATTTGCATGCTGTAATATGTTCTGGAATGTCGAATAACTCAATTATTTGGTTCCCACGGATACGACCTTCGATTATGTACGACACTTGATTGATTATTAATATTCTCTATTCATAAAGATATGCTGAGTGGTAAGAGGATTACTGTAAGTATAGGATTACATCTAAACTTTACCATATAATCTTACTAAAATAAACGACCTTCGTTTTTCAATAACTCACGTATTTTGCTTTGTTATATTACAGTTACGAATCAGGTTCTCGGTCGAATAGGGATTGATATTTTGCCCAAATATTTGTCCGGGACAGATAGCCGATTCTGATCTTTTTTTAGCCTTCAGGAACACAACTGTGTATTCAATTTAGTGTAGACAGATAGACAGAAAACATTGTTTTTATAAGACGGCGGGCAAATAAGCATATGGCTCATCTGATGGTAAGTGACTACCGCCGTCTATGATCACCCGCAACACCAGAGGCATTGCAGGTGTGTTGCTGGTTTTTTACATTTCTAAAAATTATTGTTTTAGCTTCTATTACTCTTATTAAGAATTCTCATACAAATTTTTCTTAAACATGCAGTGCAACGCGAGCTATGAGAATTGTTGGTGATCTCAGGCGTTGAACCCTTAAGTCTTAAGAGAGATTTTGCCCCACTCTGCGTGTTCTACTGCTTGTACAAAGGACTGTGTTCAGAGAATTTGTTTGTAAAGGATGCCCATGACCATTTTCTACCATCGTACGGCTTGGCATGACAGGGAGTTTACCCCCATACCTTAGAGCTTAGATGGTCGCGTATATCTTGGTTTCAGAGATGTTTCCTCCCACGAACGTTCGGGTAATAGAATGGGTTTTTTGTCGAAGTTTCTCCAAGATACTACAGCATGGGGTTCTTCAAAAAAGGCTTAAAGAGGGAAACCTCTTGCAGTCCCTGAAGAAATTCAGGATCTGCAACGCGCGCGGCTTACCCCGGCCGTAATATTCCGGGCGTTCATAGGCTACGGTAATCGCTTACTATCAGGTGGGCAGTATGCTTGTTTGCCACCTCAGTGGTATAGAAAAAAAATTAAAGCTTCTCATACCAATTTTTCCTAAATATCTTCCATGTACAGACATTGTCTAATTACAATTTTGTTATATTAATAAGATTAGAAGATAGTAGAGTTTAAACTTACCATGTATGAAAAATTTATAACGGTCACCATATCGTCTTCTGAAAACGGAGCGCTCTCTTCGGCGTCGAAAATAAACGTTTTTTTGAGCATATATTTGATCGTGTCGTTGTCACCGTAACCCAATACCGTCCTCTCTCGGTATTCTCTGTAATTAAAAGCGTTTAATTGTGTTGAATACCAGGCATAGTACAAATTTTTTAAAGTGTGCCACGCATAGATTTGCTTACAAATAGACTAAGCAATTTCTTACTTCTAAACTAATATTATATAATATATAAAGATTTGTTATTTTTTTATTTATTTATAATAAGTACATTATACTGATATTAATATATATACGCCTGCGCTAACGGTATATGTTGGCGGGGCACGAGTAAGGGATGTTAGGTGAGAATGAAATGGCAAGTCAATTAGTCCATCGTGATGAATATATCTGGAATTCACCACGATGGTTTCCAAAGAGACTGCGTGGGGGTCGACCCGACAGGGCATATTATTATTAGTATTAGGTTAGCTGGAAGAGATTTCTTTCAGAGATAAATCTTTATTCTATCTATGAAATTTACAAGTGCAATAAAGAATAAAATAATAATAATTAATATTCATTAATATATATATATATATATATATATATATATATATATATATATATATATATATATATATATATATATATATATATATATATATATAATAGGTAGACTCTGTATCCTTACAATGATTAACTGAATTTGGTACTGACTTATACACGAATGGGCCGATTTCTTGCAATTTTGGTTTCTTGCCGTTGTTAATTTCCTCTGTGTTGGTGACGTTGAACACGGTTATTTTGAACTTGAGAGGCATCGGCAACACCCGCCATTTCTCGTACATCATCGACGAATTGTCCAGTTGTATATTCTGAAATAGAGAAAAATCATTATATACTGGTTTTCTAATTAGGCGACCTAGGGAGGGAAAGGGATTGTTAGTAATGGAGACTGAGAATCCCATTGCTAGCAATATACCCAACCAGGTCGACCTCCTCGCGGTTCCCCCTGGAAACTATCATGGTTAATTCCTGATGAATTCATCTATTTTAATTTTTATTTTAGTTAACTCAACTGGCCTGTTTTCATTCTTATCTATCACCCTTCACTGGTGCCCCGCCAGCGTATCCCGTTAGCGGGGTTATCATTCCATTTTCATCCATCACAAATAAAAAATTAGGCGAGCTATAGAAAACTACATTAATAACAAATTACAAAAGCTATACATACATTATTTTTTTAAAAAATAGACATTTCTATAAAAAATATAATAATGTAACCAACAAAGTATCAAAAATTTGTTTATTAAAGCTACATACATACATACATACTAATATACATAACTTATTTTTCTATTCGTGCGAATTTTAAGTAGATCCCTAGTACTACATAAATTCTTATCCCCATCATTGCTGAATATAGGCCTCCTCCATAAGGGGGTAGGGAGATAGTTAGTAGTTGCACGCTTGGCAGGTGGGTTGGCAACCATAGTTAGGCTTTGATGATGTTTTAAGGAACAAGTAACTGCTGCCCATCCCTAGATTAAGTTCCCTTAGTCGCCTCTTACGACAGCCACGAGAAAGGAAGGGTTGACCCATTTTATGCCGGGACACAGCACAGAAGAAATAAAAAATATACTTACACATAATAAGTTTATATTTATAATAAGTTTACCATTGTAATATATATATATATATATATATATATATATATATATATATATATATATATATATAATTATATATAATACATACAGTACATATATAAACTTATATAGCAACAAATATACTAATATGTATTAGGTATTAAGGCGGAGATAAATTTTTTTAAATAGTAATTTTTTACTTTCAAATTAAAATTCAATGATGCAATGATTTTGTCTCTTACAAACTGAAATATCTTTTATCACTATGGTAGGAGGCAACTAAAAAACTATGGTCTGGAAAGTAATAACATACAGTACACATATTTGCAGTAAGTGCTTTATATTATTTTCAATTTCGTGTATAATATAGTATATATCATATATGTGTAAGTATATTTGTTATTCATATATATTTATTTGTTCATATATGTAATTTTAGTATGTATGTATATCAATAATTAGTAGTACCGCATTCGAGTATTCTGACACTTCCCTATGGTTGACTGGGAGAGAATGCTTTTAGCATTAAGCCCGCCATGTACACATATTTGTACTAATGAATAAATAAATAAATAAATAAATATTTCACATGAATTACACAACACACATTCACAGATTACGAACATTCCCACATTCATTTATTCAACTTCGCTTCTCTTAATATATTATTAGTGTTTTATAATAGCTTGTGTATTTATATTGTTAATTTTATTAACGTCACAGTTTTTCGGGATTGACTGATAAGCAATAATCACTATTTCAATTTTATATTCCTTTTATATTACTACCCACTCACTATGTATTTTTTATTATAACACATTGTGATTTGTTAATCTTTGTTTGGTGCCTACGATACAGGTTCGCCTAGTATGGGACCCAGTGTATCCTGTGTTTGTAACTTTGTGTTTTTCGTCAAATAATAAATAATAATAATAATAATTAAATTTATTGCCATTCTTCACAGAAATTATAATGTACATAAATGAATTAATCAATATATTGTCCATTAATCGTATGCGCCTGGCAATAGGTACAAACTCAGCTTTTGCTGGACTGATGTTCGTTCAGCGCTGATTTTCAGTTTGCACCTACACTTATATTTCTATTAAATATAAGTGGTATTAATAATATTAATAGATATCAAAACAATAATTCTTATAAATTTTGTCTATTAGCTTGTATGTTTGTTCCGCCATCATACAAAAACTACTGCACCGAATTAAATGCGGTATTCACTATTGTACGCCATAAAGTCTAATTAATCTGAATGAGGGAGGGAGAGAAGGGATTTTTTAGTAATGAAATTACTAACTAGTCCCATTGCTAGCAATATATCTTATCAGGTCGACCTCCATGCGCCCCCCCCCCCTTTTGGAAACTATCGTGCTGTATATATATATATATATATATATATATATATATATATATATATATATATATATATATATATATATTTAATGTCTATATAAATCTTTTGCATAAGCTCATTGACTTGTCTTTTCATTCTCACCTATCATCTCGGTAACGGTACTCGCTGGTGTCCCGCCAGCGTATACCGTTACCATTTTCACCCATTGAAAACAAAATGTACATGTTACGATTATTATAAACGTCAAGTTGTAGGATATAATTGTACAGATTTGTCGTACCGTATGCGGTTGCATTAGATATTTATCCGCCTCACAGTTTGTTTTTTGACCCAAAAAACAACCATCCTCTTTTTATATTTTTATTTTGTAGAATATATCATTACAAAAGTAAGAGTAGAACTCCCGACGATCAAATCTTATCAGGTTTAGAGATATGATTTTTTAATTTTAATTCTATGAAAAATCAGAAATTTTTTCTATACCACTGAGGTGGCAAACAAGCATACGGCCCACCTGATGGTAAGCGGTTACCGTAGCCTATGAACGCCTGCAATACCAGAGGTATTACGCGCGCGTTGCCGACCCTGAAGAAACCTCTTTACCCCCTTTTGAAGAACCCCCTGCTGTAGTCTCTCGGGAAAACCTCGGCAGGGAGCTCATTCCATAACCTGAGTGTTCGTGGGAGAAAGCATCTCTGAAACCGCGTTGTACGCGACCATTTAGGCTGTAAGGTATGAGGGTGAACTCCCTGTCGATGGTGAGCCGTACGATGATAGAAAGGGGCCGTAGGCATCATATTGAATAATTCCTCTGAGCACAATCCGTTGTATAAGCGGTAGAACACGCAGAGTGAGGCAAAATCTCTCCTAAGACTTAAGGGTTCGATACCGCTTGCAAGCATGGGATCAACGACAATTCTCATAGCTCGTCGTTGCACTGAGTCGAAGGGTTCAAGCTGGTATCTAGGTGCTCCCGCCCATAAGTGACAGCAATATTCCATATGGGGCCGGATTTGCGATTTGTAAAGCATTAATCGCTGATCCGGCGTGAAGTAATGCTTCGCTCTATTGAGCACACCGAGTTTTTTGGATGCCAGCTTCACCTTATCTTCGAGGTGGCCATGGAACTGTACGTCACTAGAGATGTCGACACCAAGGATCCCAATGCTTTTAGAGATGTTAAGAGACGTGCCTTGGAACTGTGGGGCCACAGCAAATGGGGTTTTCTTAGCGGTGAACGCGCAAGCTTGTGTCTTAGAGGGGTTAAATTCCATAAAAACAGCTATTATAAAAAAAACTATCCAATATTTCATTCATTAATAGCCGATTTGAACAATTCAAAAAGTAATCTACATAAATTGAAAAACTGATGAGCAAAAAAAAAGACACTGTGCGCCTTTGAAAAACAAACATTACATACGCATAGGTTTTTTCCAATCACAAAAATATGTTTATTGCAAGCATTCAATGTAACAGTAGCTATTTGCGATGTGCTAATTAATTACTAAATAGTTCGCGGTAGGGAAAATATTATTGTACCATATATACACCTTTAATATTAAATACTAGTCGTTTCCCGCGGCGTTGCCCGCTTCTAACCATGAAGTTTCCGTTTATCATTTCCAATGGAACTCTTTGTGAATCCGGCCTTGTATTATATACTTAAATGATAATTATGTAGCTAATACCTTTATAAAGTCTTAATCAATTCAACTGATTGATTACTTTATAGCATTTTGTATGTGATTCTTTAGATTGATATATCTTTTTTATTTATAAACCGATTTAAATAAAATAAAAACTAAATATTAAGTGGAGAAAACCGCAACGTATTAGTGAAACCCGCATTCAAATCGGTTAAGTTGTTTCTGAGATTAGTGTGTTCAAACATACAGACAAACAGATAAAAATTCTAAAAATCCTTGTTTTGGGTTCTATGGCGTTTATAAAGCCTAACTATAATAGTTTTTCTTATATATTTTTCATATATAGACAATGACCAGTTATGATTCTATTATATGTATTGTATGCGACGGAAATCTGTACGTTTGTTCGTTTAAGATAATTGTAGAAGTAAACTACGGGAATATTTTTTATTGTTAAATGTTAAATAATTTACGTGTATAATTAGATCGAGAATTAAGGGTCTCGCATTGGTCCCGAAACTAGTCGTGTTTTCGATTACACCTAAGTTAAACAGCTAGTAGGGGGGCAAGGGATTGTTAGTAAAGGGGTCTAACCGCCCTATTGCTAGCAATACATCCTATTACATCGACCTCCACGTGGTTCCCCCTGGAACCCTTGTGGCTAACTCTAGTGCAATTCGTCACGATGGACTAACTGACCTGCTTTCATCGTCATCTATCATCTCGCACTGGTGCCCCGCCTGTTATCAGGTGCCAGGCGGGGTTATCATTTCATTATCGCCCATTAAAAAAAAATGCTAGTTATTAAATTAAAAAGGAATATGTTTTGAAATTATCAGATGAAATTTATTTATTGCTTTTTATCATTATACATATATATATATATATATATATATATATATATATATATATATATATATATATATATATATATATATAATTTTGATTTATTTACACAAAAAATACAAACATATAATATATATTAAATATAGATGTACAACAGGCGAGCTTAATTCTTAATATATATAAGAGTTATATAATAATAATATTATTATATTATTTTATAATATAATTTTGATGATTCTTTTTTTACACACTACACATTACTTATTACCATACCTAGTAATCTTGTCAAGATTGAAGTAATTCATTTGGAAATGAATCATAAATTATATAGTTACATAAACCATTAGCACAATAGCTACGTTGATAACACGTCATACAATATATGTTATGTTATACAAACATAAAACCGGTGCCACATTCAATTTTAATATAATGATACCGGTTTCTAAAGACGTAATCCCAGTAACATTTTTTTTTGCCACAGACAAAAATAGTATCATGTTTACACACAACATACGGTGAGTTTAGTGTTTATTTATTTTTATTAATTTTAAACTAGTCATCATCATCTTCCTACCCTTATCCCAACCATTTGGGGTCGGCGTAATATGATTTTATCCATATTACAAAAAGATTTCGTTTTTACTTTTACGACCGGCCACCTGCCTGACGTCAACTCTCTTTGGGAATGCATTTGTTGGTGGTTTCCGCCACCTACGGTATGGAGGAAAGGAAATGTGTAAAGGAAATTGGTGAATGAGAGGAATAAGAGACTTATGTGGGAAAGGAAATGGAGGGGGGGACACTGCATGTGCGGAAAGGACTGGGACACTGCAGCGGCTCGGGAGGCCGGGGTCGCATACCCGTATGCCCTTATTCTAGAATCGGACAGATTTCTAGAGAAGAACACCCCTGACGCAATTTTAAACTAGTATAGTAGTAAATAAATATAGCTTCAGCTGACCTGAGGATCTTGTGAAAGAGTGTATGATGAGTGAGAGTCCTTATTGTTCCCTTCAAAGAGATTACTTACAGATTACAAATCTCTGCTTAATGTTAATAACAAAAGGAAATATTTTCCCAATTTTGCAAAATTATATACATATTTACCTCTTCATAAACAACAATGTTTCAAAAATTGCTTTCTTTGTAACTAGCAATTTGATAAATAGAATTTTTAAAAATAATATACATATATAGCCTATGTTACTCGCTTATAATGTAAATTTTAAAAGATGAAAGAATTGTTAAAATTGGTTGTTTAGTTTTTGAGTTAATCCATAACGTCTTTGCTCTTTATAGTACCAGCGGCTCGTCCAGGGACATTTTTACGACATTTTACACTTTTAACAATATCTTTCGAATGGAACATACCTACGATTTGAAAAATTGAAAAAGTAATCTGCAGGTGTTGAAACAATTTTGAATACATGTATAACGTGACGTTTGAATACATGTAGAGCGTTATTTTTTCTATTTCTATGACTTATTAAATTCGTAATATCTATTGAATGGAATAGCCGATTTGAACAATTCAAAAAGTAATGTACATACATTGAAAAAGTTTTGAGAACAAAATAATTTATTTATATAAGGATTTAAACAAAAGTAGGAATAACATGGTGTAATTTTGGTCGGTATTTCTATCAACTTTTAAAATGTAAAAAGTGGTTATTGTGACATAACGATAATAGTATATAAATGTACTTAAATAAGTATGAGTATAAAATTTACAATATATTTATTTTCATTTATTTATTATTTATTAACCAATTTACAAATAAACGTCTGGTACAAAAGGCGAACTTATTAACTATATAGCATTCTCTCCCAGTCAATCTTTGGCAAAACAGAAATGTTGTGAAAAAAATAAAAAAAATGTTGTAGATAAACTATATATTTTATAATATATTACTATATCAATTAATTAACTTTATTAAAATAATAACAAAAAAACAATCCATAATCATCATGAAATTTGATTCAGACGTAGTATCTGAGATAAAGAAGTATATAGGCCATTTTTTATTTTAGTTAATTTATGTATATGTACTGTCCACACTGCCGATGTCGCGGGTAAAAACTAGATGAGTATAATTCACGGCAGCTTATTTATGGAGTAGACAGAGAGAACCGAATGCCAAAGCCACAAAGAATGAACTGTGGCATGAACATAAAAAGAAACTTGAGGCGTAATAAAACAGTAACTTTTATGGATGTGAAACAATATCAATCAATTGTATGTCTCATATAATAGATAATTTGGTATGCCTTTTATTGAAATTAAAAACTTGACCTTGTGCCCTTTTGTATTGTGCCCTATTTATTTGTGTACTTCACAAAGGTCACACCGTGCAATAGGACAGAAATTTTGTGCTTTTTTTTACAACACAGGGGACAAACGAGCATGCGGTTCACCTGATGGTAAGTGACTACCGCTGCGCATAATCACCCACAACACTTAGAACATTGCAGGTGTGCTGCCGGCCTTTTAAAAAGGAATATGCTTGTTTCTTGAAGGTTATGTTATCGTATCGGTTCGGAAATACTGCTGCTGGAAGTTAATTCCAAAGAGTGGTTGTGTGTGGAAGAAAGTGCCTTGAAAGACGCACAATGGAAGACCGAAATAACGAAATGTGTAGCGAAAATATTTATTAATTTTTTTTTAATAAAAGAAAAAAAAACACTATATGCATTTAAAATTTGTGATTAAAATGTACAGAACAGCAGTATGTAGCTGAAGGTATCGATATGGTCATAATTCTTACAATGAAAATTCGTTAGCTTCCCATTACTGGACAGAGAAGGCCTGGGCAGCTGTTGATGACTAAGATGGTTGTTGATTAAAGTACCCTAATAAAATTAAGTAAATTGCATCTGCATCATACCTATATGCAGTTTTAAGTGTACTTAGTTTCCTCCCTCTATCAATATATAGTACTTTATTCTCTTGCTCCTCTTGGTGCTTCTCATATCTCTCTAGTTCTATGATATTATATCAGAATATTGCAGATGTCATTTTTTGTATTATTATTATTATAAAGGCCGTTAACTGTCCACTGCTGAACATAGGCCTTCCTCATAAAGGGGTTTTTGACTACTGTCAAAAGTCCCAGCTACTGCTGGGAAGCTTGGTCGACAGGTTGGCTACCGCAGTTAGGCTTTGGTGATGTTTTAATAGGGACGCTACTGCAATTTTTTCGACCATTAAGGTCCATCAGTGGCCTATTTTATGCCGGGACCACACAGCACTGAACGACAATTCTTTAATATATTTAGTTAATTAATAAAATGACAGTGATGTTAATTTATTATTGCCAAAGGTAAAAGAAATAGTGTAATGTTAGCAAACATATATATATATATATGTTTGCTAACATTATTACAATATATATATATATATATATATATATATATATATATATATATATATATATATATATGTAATAAATATATCTTACCTTTTGAATTTGACTTCTGATGATCTTCGGAAATCCCCATACAGCCAATATGATTGATATAATCAAAGCTCCCACCGAAATCCCGAAGAACAATCTCGAACGTTTACCCAACATGATTAAGTTTATTTTAAAAACTCATATAGTATGTCCAAAACTCAACGATAAAGCAATTAGTTGATTTTAAAATACACACCCAAAATTTAAATGCGTCACGTCTAATTCACTCGCGCTGTACGAACGATACAAGTATTTTTTTTTTCAGAGTTTACTTTGCATATATTTAATTTATTTTCAAAATATATTAATATTTATTAACTTATGCTAATTAATTTGACTGCACGGCACACGTATCCGTCTATCTTCTTATGTATCTAGACAACGATTACAACGATAGTACCATAAACGTGCTGCTCGAACGCGTGTAATTTTCTCAATTTTTTTCTTTTGCTAAATAGAGATTCGTTAAGAAACAATGTCCGGTGTATTTACTCAGCAGATTCTATTGTGTTCTTTAATTATATTTATACGCCATCGCGGATTGTCAATGTGTTTGTTTAAATCGAAAACAATTTAAATTAATGGAAGATGGTTTACATAGGAATAAATATATTGCACATGCATAGAAAAAATGCGTAATATGTAGTGTTTGCAAACTGCTAATTTTGGTGGAGTAATAAAATTATATTTTTATAATCTATGGCCACTGGTAGATTATTTTTTTATCAGAGCGAGACTTTGTACAAAAGTCTTTTGCTTGGGTACCTCTGTCCCATTCGTGTTTCAATCGTGAAGCAGTTGTGTTTACATGGCTGTGTTTCAGTTTGAAGGGTGGGATATGGCGTGAATTTACAGGGTACAGAGGAATAACACCTGAGTCCTCAGGAATGGCAACGCATGGGGGGTATCATGGGCGAAATAGTATACTCTGTTATGTTCATGGTACTGCTCATGTCTATAGGCGACGGTTACCATTTACCATCAGGTAGACCGTCAGCTTGTTTGCCATTCTAAGTTGTATAAAAAAAAAATATATCATAATATGCTTTCCATCCATCTATCCATATAATCCGTTAACTGTCCACTCTTGAATATAGGCCGTCCCCTCTTAGAGAGTTTTGCTACTAGTTGCCACGCGGGTCAGGCGGGCTGGCAATTGCAATTAGGCTTTGGTGATGTTTCAAGAGGGAGGCTGCTGCCCATCCCTTGATCACTAACTTCACTTAGTCACCTCTTAGAATACCCACGGGAAAGGATAGGATAGCCTATTCTATGGCTGGACCATACGACGGCGTAATGCCTTTGCTATGATATATATATATATATATATATATATATATATATATATATATATATATATATATATATATATATATATATATATATAATGTCATTTTTTTAAACAACTAGGTAGAGCAAAGAAACTGGCAGCCTATTTGCTGAACGTCACAGAATGCTTTGTGGCTTTATGTGTTATCATTGCTCAGGACTAGGGCGCTTTTCTTATTGTCTTTTAAAATATATGTTTAAGGGATATGACGAACTTTCTTAGGTATTTTTTGCATACTATTTCGTATACGTGGATTGCAGTAATAGAAAATTCACTAAAATATAACACTTTTAAATGGTGTATTAAAATAAAACATACACAAGATTTTAGATTAGATCTGCAGTAATAAAACTTTAAAAACTACATTCACTTTGGTGCAGTTGTTTTTGTGTGACATTAAAACACTTTATTGCATTAAAACATACGGTAATAACAATAAACTAAGAGCAATGTTAGCACAGGCTAACTTATTTCTAAAAGAGATCTCTTCCAGACAATCTAATAGGGAATAGGAAGTAGTGTGGGCAACAGTATTTATAAGTAATTATAACTTACAATATATATATATATATATATATATATATATATATACATACATACAGTAAACAAAGTTAGTGAGTGGGCAGTAGTAGTGCAAAACAGAAATTGAAATAAATATTTACATAAATTATTTATAATATATATATAATATATATTATAAATAATTTATGTGAACCAACTCATTGAGCACGTCCAAATGGCTACAGATTCCCTGCTCGAACAGATTCCTTCCGCTGAAGTCGTGATTCTTGGCGATTTTAATGCCCACCATACCGAATGGCTTGGTTCACGTACAACCGACTATGCGGGAAGATCTGTTCATGACTTTGCTTTGGCTTATGGTCTGACGCAGCTTGTTTCCTCGCCTACGCGAATACCTGATGTGTTGGATCATTCACCTTCACTGTTGGACCTTCTGCTGACCACCCACCCAGACAACTATGTGATTTCCGTCGAAGCTCCGCTTGGATCGTCGGATCACAGTCTGGTGCGGAGCGAGGTGCCTCTCATGAGTCCGATTCCACCACGTTCCACGGGTAGACGTCGTGTTTGGCACTACAGGTCAGCAGACTGGGATGACATGCGGATTTTTTTCGCATCTTACCCATGGAGGCAGGTTTGCTTCACACTGGATGATCCCGACGCCATTGCCGATTCCATTGCTGATGTGGTGCTTCAGGGAATGGAATTATTTATTCCTAACTCTGTGGTGCCCGTCGGCGGGAAATCCCAGCCCTGGTATGGAGCCTCTTGTAGAACAGCATCTCGTCTGAAACAGGAGTGCTTCCTAACCTGACTAAAGGTGTGGCGTCGCGAGATCCTAACACCAGTGCTCTTATATAACTCTGCCTCTAGGTCTTTCAAAAGAGTTATAGCCACAGCGAAGTCAGAGCATATTAGTAGAATTGGCAAGAGATTGGCTAGTTTGCCCTCTGGAACTCGAGCTTTCTGGTCTCTTGCCAAAGCTGCACAAGGGAATTTCTGTAAGTCATCTTTTCCACCATTGCGCAGGGAGGATGACTCGTTGGCCCAGAACGCTAAGGAAAAGGCCGATCTTCTTGGATCCATCTTTGCGTCAAACTCGACATTGGATGACGGGGAGAAATCACCACCGACCATCACGTGTTGTAGGAGCTCTATGCCTGACATTAAATTCACGCATAGCTCAGTGCGTAGAGCACTTTTCTACCTCGAAATCCATAAGTCGAGTGGGCCCGATGGTATTCCTCCAATTGTGCTTAGGACGTGCGCACCAGAGTTGGCTCCGGTTCTTACGCGTCTTTTCCGGCTTAGCTACTCATCGGGCATAGTCCCAAAGTTTTGGAAGACTGCTCTGGTGCATCCGATCCCTAAAAAGGGAGATCGCTCAGATCCAGCTAACTATAGGCCCATAGCTATCACTTCCTTATTCTCGAAGGTTATGGAATCCATCATTAACCGTCAACTGCTCCGGTACCTAGAAGAGCACCAGCTGATCTGTGATCGCCAGTACGGCTTTCGACAGGGACGTTCGGCTGGTGATCTTTTAGCTTACTTAACACACCGATGGGCAGTGGCAATCGAGAGTAAGGGAGAGGCCTTAGCAGTTAGTCTGGATATCGCGAAGGCCTTTGATCGGGTGTGGCATAGAGCGCTGCTTTCAAAGCTACCTTCATTTGGGTTGCCTGCGAGACTGTGCATTTGGGTCGCCAGTTTTCTCAAGGAACGTAGCATTAAGGTCGTAGTCGACGGAGCATGCTCTGATTTAAAACCTTTGAATGCTGGTGTCCCGCAAGGCTGTGTACTATCTCCGACTTGTTTCTTCTGCATATCAATGATATGTTACAGATAAGTAATATTCATTGCTATGCAGACGACAGTACAGGAGATACATTATATACCGGTCATGCAAAGATCTCACGGGCACATACCGATGAGTGCCGGAATAGACTTGTGTCTGAAATCGAAACTTCACTCCATCAAGTTTCGATCTGGGGTGAACAAAATCTTGTCCAATTTAACCCCAAAAAGACACAAGTCTGCGCGTTTACCGCAAAAAAGACGCCGTTTGTCGTATCTCCTCACTTTCAGGGCACTTCCTTGATAAAAAGTCGAGTCTAGGAATTCTGGGCGTTGATATATCTTGCGACGTCCAGTATTTATATATAAGATAGCTTCCAAAAATAATCTCAATAGGGTGAGACGATATTTCATGCCAGAACACCGCCTGAAATTATATAAAGCCCAAGTCAGGCCGCATATGGAATACTGTTCTCACCTGTGGGATGGAGCCACAGTACCAACTCCTTATAAACAATATAATATCGATAGTCAACGTATGTCCGACTTGAACTGAGAACTGACAAATGTTGCATCTCTTTTTTAGAATTTTTACTGAGGAATTGTTCGGATTGTATCTGTATAACGTAAAAAAACTAAAGTTTCATCCCAATCATCTGGACGATGCGATTTTCTTAGTGCGTTTTTCAAGGCAGGTTTGATTCTTTGGAAAATTGGGCATTAGTTTTATCTACCATAGTACAACATCATCATCGACAAGGAGTATCATCCTCATTTTAAAAGAGGGCAGCACACCTGCAAAGCCGCTGGTGTTGTGGGTGATCATGGGCGGCGGTAGTCTGTACCATCATTCATGCTCGTTTCCCCTGTGTTGTAAAAAAAAAAAAAAAATATTATAATAAATAAGTCTTCTAATCAATAGTATGATTTTAATATTTTCTTGAAGAAATATACAGACAGACAGACAAAATTTCTAAGAAATATTAATTTAACCCCTCATAATTATTTTTCTTAAATACTTTCTACGTACAGACATCATCTAGTTACAATTTTATTATGTTCATAAGCGAAGATTATATACATGTTATGTCCATGGTACTGCGATAGCCTGTTCCTATAGGCAATGGTTACCACTTTCCATTAAGGTGGGCCCTTATATGCATTTAATTGCATCTGCACTTTGTTACAAACAGCAAATCTAAACAAGTTCTCAATGAGATTCACTTCCAACAGATTTACATGCGTATCAAGTTTTTAATGAAGGGTCTAATGTATCGCTTCATTTCAGTCATGCTTATTTATTATTTTATTCTTACTTGTATTATTATGTAAGAATCATGTATTATAAATGAGCAATATAGATAGATAGATACTCTTTATTGTTACCTCCAAAAGATTACAATAGTAAACTTATTATAAATATAAATAATTACAAGAAATAATCACAATGAGAAAACAATGACCTTATCGCTAAAAGCGATCTCTTCCAGACAACCTTTGGATGGAGAGGACATTATAAAAATATAAAAGTACGTATTTGCAAAAGAAGACAAAAATATTATATAAATTTTTATCATATCTGTATAACATAAAAATTACATACATACATATATACGACATACATATATAATATATACACAATTAAATATATACATAACATACACATACTTAACAGCACACATACAACAGAAAAAAAATGACGAAGGAAAATGAAGAGAGAACACAGGAAAGTTGTATTTGCATGGTTGTGAG